TATATTTCCCTAGCAGTATTTAATAAACACGTCTTAGACTCCAACAAAGTAATGCAAGTTGTTTTTTTAATTGAGAAACAAGTTCAGACCGGGGATAACTATGACTCCAATGAGGAAAATGACTCAAAAGGAAAGAAAATTTCTTTAAAGTGCACTTCTGATTGGATCATCACAATCAGCCAACAAAAATAAAAGTGAGGGCAGGCACAGACTTGCTTGCTATAGCACAGGATGCACTTTAGTGAACCCTGATTGTGAGTGTGTGTGTGTTCCTTTTTTTCTATTTATTTAAGTTTTTTATTGTTAACACTACTACAGATGTCCCCCATTCACCCTCCCCAGTTTGCCCACCTCCACCCAGCCCCGCCTCCTTCTCCCTTGGCCCTCACCACGCTGTTGTCTGTGGGCGTGGGCTATGCATGTACGTTCTTTAGCTACCCCCCTCATGATTTTTACAAAGCATCTGTGAAAGATGAGAAGGAGGCACAGAACCAAGGGACAAGGCCAAGAGGGGCACACCCTATTAACTGCCATCTCAAGAGAAGAGAGAAAGGGAATTTAGAATTTTTAAAAAAGCACAAAAATTAGGGAACAAATGAACTAAGGCAAAGAGAGTGGGTCACAGCTAAACAGAGATTTGCTGGCTCAACCTGAAACTGTCTCTTCTGTCAGCTTGAGTTCCCCATCTATTTTAAGCCACAACATCCTTCTGCTCTCCGAGTTCCCAGAACACTTATCCAAAGTTCATTCAACCTTAAGTGGATAAAGACCTGAGTGGGTCTGCACCAGGTCCTGCCCATCTGACTCTTGCCTTCATACCCTGCCTCTCTGGATCCCAGCCTCATACCCCATGTTCATTCATTTGAGCCCATGACTTTTACTGAGCCTGGAATGTTTCCTCGTCCCTCCTCAGTGAACTACCCCCTCTCAGTCCAAGATGAGCCTCTCTGTTCGATGCCTGCACTCCACTGCTCTCAATGTGTGCTCAGCTACTCATTCAAGGATGTCCGTATGACTCCACTGTCATCTTCCAGGACAGCGGGAACCGTGGCAGGTTTTGCCCATTGAATGGGGTTTCATTCTTTTTAACTCTTTTTTACTTATGGGTGAGATTATTTCTTTACCTCACACCTCTTCACTGAAGAGCTGGTTCACTGGGTAGTAGTGGGGCATTTTGAACTAGAAATCAAGGAACAGCGAGTTTCCATATTTGCTCTCGCTCTTGTATGACCTCTCAGTGTGACCTTGGGGCTTTGATACTTCCCTCTCTGTGCCTGTTTCCTCCTCTATAAAGTAAGAGTTTAATCTAGACAATATCTGAGGTGCCTCTTTCCCCAACATAGCATTTCACGTCCTTCAGTAGACTAACAAGAGCAAACGTAAAAGAGCAAAGGATAGGGAGAGGTCACACCAACAAAAGGAGGCCTCAAGGTTCACGGAGCCGGGGCTCTGTGGCCGTTTCAGCCAGCTGCTCACCTTGCAACCTTAGGCAGATTGCTGAGTGGCCCTGGGCCTTGACTTCCTCTTCTGGAAAATGTGATACGAATACCTCCCTCACAAGTCCAGTGAGAGGATTAAAGGAGATGATGTGTTACAACACCTGGAACATGGAAGACTAGTATATATTAGGTCCTTTTCTTCTCCCACTAACTGCCGTGGAATTTAAAAGCAGACGATAACGAAGTAGGGCATGAATTGAGACAAAGGCTCAGTTGTCTCTGCGTGTCTTCGTTCGTGTACACGTTATTCCTCTGAGGAGGCTTTCTACCTACCACCTTAAAAAAAAAAATGACATACCTCAGGATTCACAGAGTTGCGTCTCTCTCCTCATTCAGGCAATCCTGTGAGGCTCAACTCTATGCAATGATTTTAAAGTTAGTCCCAACGATGTCTTCTGTCTTCTGGATCCAATGACAAGAGACTAGAGTCCCCATCCAGCCACCACTGACCATGTAATCAATCATGCTGGTCACCTTCACCCTCTCCTACATGTCACAGAAAAACATTTGGAGGAGGGAAGAGAGGGAGGGGAGATGTTTTAAACCATTTCTTTTTATCTCTTTTTCTTTTTAACAAAGAATCTTAGGATCACTGAATGATAGAGTGTTGGAGGTGGGAAATACCTTTTACTCTATTTCAGCCCTGTCACTTGGCATTGGTGGTGACAAGAGACTTGATCATCTGTATTCAGTGGAAAGAGAGGATTGGACTTGGAATAAGAAACCTGGGTCCGATTGCGCTCTGCCAGTTTTGTGACCATAGGTTGGTCACTGAACCTCCTCAGGGGTCCCCAGCTGGGAAAGGGGATAATAATCACTGTCTCTTGTAGGTAAAGCGAGGAGCCAGTGAGCCAGTAGGAACGAGAGCTCTTTGTGGACGGCGATGCCATTTTCGAAGGAAAAGCAGCACCGCGACTCTTTGGACCCGCAACCTTCAAGTTTATAAAGCATATCTACGCACCTACCAAAAGATATCATCTCATCTTGAATATCTAATTTTGTGAATCAAGAAAGACAAATACTAATGCCTAGCAAAATCCCTGGCACAGAAAAAGTGCACAGACACTTTTTTCTGAATGGTTTAGGTTAAAATGACTAGAAAGGGGTTTCTGAGGCCTCCTCAGAGTCACGAGGTGGATGCATGAAGCCACCCAGAGGCCCTGTCACAGGACAGCTCCAGACACCCTCCAGGGGAGCTCTACCTAGTATGTTCCTCTCTCTGTTCCCGAGAAAGAGACCGCCTGGGGCTGAGCCTTCCTTACAGTCAACCTCTGCTCACACTCACGGCACCGCAGGCTCCCCAGAACCAAGCGGGGACCTCTCACTCTCTAAACCCCACCCGCATGGTCCCTCCTTTCAAATCTGGTTTCCAAGAAAGCCACTGAAGGAAAAAGTTAGATGAGACCACAGCCTGAGTGGTCTGTCTAGAAAAAATTTCAAACTCTCCTTGAGAAATTCAACAACTGCGTTGAGGAATTCTCTGCGGCGGAGGAGTGCCGTTGGCTGGACGGGTGTTGCCACTGATGATGGAACCGACCGTGCTTTCCTGGATTACCAAAGAGGTGTTGCATAGTCCTCCCAGAAACTGAAGATCTTCACAGTTTCAACCGAGTTCTTCATCTGAAAATGTCCTCCCTGTTGAATTTTTTGAACCAATATTTTCATAACTATGTTTTCTTTGGTGAACCAAGGTGTTGCAGTGATGACTCTACAGGTTCCCAGGTGACAGGGCCATCATTAGCATTGTTATTATTTTTGTTGTACTGTATCTCTATAGCAGCCCACATTCACAATGTGCTCTGCAAATGCTTCTTAGTAATAGTCCTCACAAGATCTCCGGGAGGCAAAGGGTGAGCAGGGTTCCATTTCTGTGCTGCTGAAGGGGAAGCACAGATGTAGAGAACTGACGACCATCACCATGGAGACAACGATCGTGTGAGACACCCAAGCTCGGCCCCAGTCTGGCCCTACATTTACACTGCCTACATTCGGGATGCCAGCTAATTCTGATCTCGTTTATGGCTACTGAAATCAGCCTACGATCGGAGGCAGTGAACTGGGCAACAGAATCTGAATCAGACATTTTGCACCTGGGATAGACCATAATGATCACTGGTCTTTACAGGCTAACAGGACCAGAGAGAATGCTTCACCCAACTCATACACGCCACTTGCTCCCAGGTCTGTGCTTTGGTGCATTTTTAATGCCAGGTTGCCACACCTCAACCTTTCTTTACCTTGTTTTTTTTTTTTCTCTATTCTCTTCTTCCACTGATTTCCTTTATTTAAAATGTATGTGGCTTGCCCTGGCCGGTTTGGCTCAGCAGTTAGAGTGTTGGCCCACAACAAATACCAAAGGGTCATGGGTTCAATTCTGATCAAGGTCACGTACCTGGGTTGCAAGTTCAATTCCTGGCCCAGTCGAGGTGTGTGCAGAAGGCAACCAGTTGATGTGTCTTTCTCATATCAAGGTTTCTCTCTCTCTCTCTCTCCCCCTCCCTCCCTCTCTTCCACTCTATTATTATCTAATAATAATAATAATAATGAAATACAATGTATGTGGCTTCAATTCCCACCAGGAAACCTGAAACATGTACCTGCTAAGGGTCTGGTGTTGACCACCTGAACTGGGCTAGCCACAGAATGCTGAGAAAGTCTGATCGGTGGCACTCATGAGTCCCTTCCTTTCCCCCAAGCTCTATTCTTGAATCTAGCTGCTGGCCTCTGGCAGGGGATTTGCTCACACCTCCTGAGTTTGCAGCAATTCTCACACTCCTGGGGTTTATCCTGGAAAAGACCAGGCTGCTCTTTGGGCTCTGGTGGATGCTATAACATGGCCAGAGCCAGGAGCTCTCTCCTGAAGCCATCACTTCTGTGGGAAATGGGCTAATGGTATTCAGAGGAATAAGAGGATGAAGACCTTGGTGGGTGAAAATCACTTGTGTCTCCTCTATCCTGTCCTAACCAGCAGGCTGTCACCCCATACTCTGAGTGATTTATGCCTATTTAAATAAACCTCCCTCTTCAGAAAAAAAAAAAAAAATGGATCTTCTTCCCTCAAGGGCCACCCCTCAGCTGCCAGAGCCTGGCTGCCCAGTACCCCGTCAATTCATACTCTGCCATGGGGAACAATACCCAAATTGATCCCAAACACACACCACGGCTCCAGAGCTCCTCGCCACCTCTAGCCACCTCTAGTTCTGATGTTAGGAGTTCTTCTTCCATCATCTATTTTTAGAAATTTGTTAAGTTTCCTGTTCTTCCTTTTTTCTAAGACAATGTGTTATAATTGTTTAGAGCAACACAATAAATACATCAAGCAAGTCAAAACCCCTGGGAATCTCTGGAAACAACATTATCAAGTTTATAACCTATCATTATAAGGTTGAATGAATGTAAGATTCTTACTTGTGAATTTCCCCTGACGTGTGGCCACGCCTACTCCGTAGAAGACAAAAGGCACTTGCGTCTGACAGGCTCAGTCTCCAGGCAGAGGGGAGTCACTCCACAGGCGTCTGAACAGCGAAGGTATTGTCCTTACCACATCTTTGGCTTTTCAAATATTTGACTATTATCTCTCAAACTGCCTTCTCTGAAGCTATAGCCTTTTCTTTCCCTTCTTGTCCTTTCCTAGTTGGGTGTGTGAGTTAAAACCACAGTCAGATTTCAGATAATGATTCTTCCTCCCAGTGGGGAACCGAGAGGCAGAGGGACTGGTCTCATACACGGGCACCGTGGGTGCAGCCAATCCTGCCCTCAGAAGGAACTCTACTACCAAATGCTCCCGGAGGGAACTGGAAGTTTCCAGCTCTGTCTCTCTCTTGCATCTGTGTAAACAGGCAAATACCTCATTCTTGTGGGTTGTTTTATAACTGACCCGAAGTTCACTGAATGCCTAGTATGTGCATGCATTCTGGGACTAAGGTATACTAAGGTATACTAAGATTCTATAAGTTTGCAATCCAGTAGAGGAGGTGGATACAATGCAAATAATTTAAGGGAGTGAAAAGAAGAATGGAGGAAATGCTGAGCTCGGGCTAAGTCATGCATTAAGTTTCTCAAGAAGCACAAAGCGGAGGTGGTTCCCTGAAGGTATCTGGTTCCCAGACGGGCTCCGCTGACGGCCCCTGGTGTTCTCTGTTGCAGAAGTCAAGATGGCTAAGGTCCCTGACCTCTTTGAAGACCTGAAGAACTGTTACAGGTAGGAAATTGATTCTCTTGTGATTCAGTGGGCGGGGATCAGCTGAGAGCTACAGTGACCAGCTTGGGGCCAGATTGGCAGAGACTGAAGAGATGTGGCTTACCTCCAAAGTCAGGGCAGGTTCAGCCAAGACCCAGGGAAAATAAGCATCCAGCATGTTCAACTGAGATGACATTGACAGGGAGACAGCCGTTACAGAAAAAATTATTTTTAAGGACTGCTGAGTCCCAGTAAATTTCAATGTCTACCCAGACATATCCTCAGCTGGGGTCACATGTTCCAGTACAGTAATGGGTTTTCATGGCCAGTCAGGGAGAGAAACCATTCTCAGAAAACTTTTTGATCTCAATCTGAAACGGAAAATGGCTCCGTAGCAATCTGAGCGCATGAGTGCTCAGACACAGTCAAAACTCATTCAGACTGAGGAGAAACGCAAACAGATAAAAAGATAAAATCACAGCACAACTTAACAGGGTGGTGCTCCCGTTACCTGTCACCAGGCACTCGCATACATTAGGCCATTGGAATGTCGTCTGATGTGAAGCCAATAAATGACTGAATCCGTTTTGGTGGATTCATGACAGCAACGTGTAACATAATCTATTCGGCTAAAATTAAAATGAGGTGCTTCCAAGGGCTTCTTTTCTCTTGAGGAGCTTAACATTTTTCTCTGAAATTTAATTACAGCTCTTCAATTTATTAGCCAAGCCCTGTCTCTGTTTTTGTTGATAAAACATAGGTAAAGATCAAAGCCTGTCCTGATGGTTACTAACCCCAATTAGTGAGGAGCAAATCACTATGTGTATGTGTATATATAGAAGTCTTTCATTTTCTAAAATGACAGTAGTGACCGTGTGTGTGTGTGTGTGTGTGTGTGTGTTACCCAAAGCCAATATAGTCATTAAAATATGTTGCCCATTGGCCTGGCCGGTGTGGATCAGTGGTTGAGCATCAACCCATGCACCAAGAGTTCGCCGGATTGATTCCTGGTCAGGGCACATGACCAGCATGTGGGCCTGATCCCCAGTGGGGGTCATTCAGGAGGCGGCCAATCAATGTTCGATGTTTCTCTCTCTCTAAAATCAATAAAGAAAAAAAAATGTTGCCCAGGGACAGTAGTGATATAGCAAACAATTATATTCTTTTCATCTTATTTGACAGTGAAAATGAAGAATACAGTTCCGAAATTGACCAACTCTCCCTGAATCAGGTAAGCAGAAGACTGATGGGATTGCTATTCTGACACAGTAGTATTTTCTCCACCAGAAGAGAAGAGTAATAGCTTGAATCCTAGAAACTTCTGTTGTACCCTCACAAGAGGTCCAGAGAGGTGTATCTTTGTTACAAATGAGGCCGACTGCCTCTCTGCACTGAGAGTTGCTGGCCTTCTTCATGCTTACCAGATTTTCCCAGAACAGAGCAGAGCTTCCTTGAACCCCCAGAACTGGAGTCTCTTGGCCAGGCTTCATCAGAATGTTAGTTACACCATCCTGAGACAGCCCCTTTGGGATCTGTCTCCTAAGGAGACGTGTTGGGGTCATTCACTCTGACTCCAGTTCCAGAAATTGTGCCTGCAATGTGACAGCCCATGAAACTGAGAGGGAGGAAGCAGCCCGTGCTCCACTGTGAGATTTTGCTAGGAGACTACACAAGTACTGCCTGTGTGTCTTTGGTACCTGCTCTAAAAGCTGATTCCAGAGGAGTATTTCTAAAATACTTGTGCCCTGTCCAGTAAAAGTCTAACTTCCTGAGGGAGAACTAACTGCAAGGCCTCCACTCACTAGGGTCTCTCTTGTAAACCTGTTTCATTACATCTCATTTTTGAGTCGGTTGATGGATAACAGTAACTGGCCAAGAGGTCACATCCTTTCAGGGAAATCCTGAGAGGAAGGGAGGTGGGGAGGAGAATATTGACAAAACAGGGGTTAGCCAAGACCAAAATGGAGATCCTTCTCACTGAGTCTGTTGAATAAAACTCCTGCTAAAGGATTCTCATTCTATGGCCATGGGAAGCTTCTCAGATTCTACTTTCCATTCTCACAGAAATCCTTCTATGATGTAAGATACGACCCACTTCCGGAGGACTGCATGGACAAATTCATGTCTCTGAGTACCTCTGAGATCTCCAAGACATCCCAGCTCACCTTCGAGGAGAGCGTGGTGGTGGTGGCAGCCAATGGGAAGGTTCTGAAGAAGAGACGGTTGAGTTTCAATCGCTTCATGACCGACAATGACCTGGAAGCCATCGCCAATGATCCAGAAGAAGGTAGGGGGTCAAGAACAATAATATCCTTGTTTTCCGTTTTTAAACAAATTTAGGGACCAACGAATACAGGGGCAAGTACAATCTAGAGCCAGAGTAACAAGTGGGCAACTAGTCTGGTAACTACACGGAAGGAAAATTACATTTTTATCCTCTCCAGCAGGGACAAAGCAGCAGTGGCCTGTGTCTAAGATACTTGCTCACTTCCTCATTTCAGGGCCGTATTGTAAAGGCCGCGTGACTTTCCGCCCTCCAGCAGCCCTTTATGCACTATTAGTAGGTCGCAGTTAGCAAGCTATGTTCCTCCACATGCTAACTGTGCCTCCTTGGCCAAGTTACTCAACCTTTCTGTGCTCCAGTTTCCTCTACTGTAAACTGGAGATTATCAGAGCTCCCACTCATTGTGCAGATTAAAGGTGTCGATGCTTGTAAACTTCTGGACTAGAATAATGCCCGGCACGCAGACGATACCCAAAAAATGTCAGCTACTGTTACTGCTGCTGCCACTGGCTTTGTTAACACTACCAACTGATACCGTTTTATTAGTGGCTGCGTTATCTCCAAACTTCACAACCACCCTACATTCTCATGGTACAGGTGAGGAGACTAAGCTCAGTGAGATGGTCACCTGCCCGAAGTCACACACTGTGTACATGGGAAAACCTCAAACCAAATTCTATAAAGATCACAATTTTTTTCTTATGCCTCTACTCTACAACCTTCTATGTGAAACATAAATAGTATGTCTAAGGTAGCAGCTCAATACTAACCCATGTTCACATGGAAGATTGAGAAATAGAAGAGAATGTAAGAAAGAAAATAGAAGTCACTCACACTACCACGAAGAGTCTAACACTGACAGCACTAAAAGGCATTCCTTCAAGTTGTTTCTGAGTAATACCCACATGTGAACATGTTTGGATCATACAGTACACAATTTTATGTCTAGCTTTTTCTCACTTTGCAACATGTCGAGGGCACTTTAGAATGTCAATTTTTCACCATTGTAAGTAAGGCAACAATGAGCATCCGTATCACCAAACCTTCATTTCTCTCACCATTTACATCCTTAGAATAGATGCCTAGAGGTAGAGATGCACAGAGCCATGGGGATTCTGACGCTACTGATTTACACCACTGCTCAGAGGAGGACAGACATTTAGACCTGTTCCCTCAGTAACGTACATAATTCTTAATGTATTTCTTTCTTTTCTCAGTGCATTCATTTGAAAATATAGGTAGGGAATACTAGGAGTCTTCCTGGCTACTTAGAAACCTCCAAACAGCCCTGGCCGGTTTGGCTCAGCGGTTAGAGCATCGGCCTGCGGTCCGGAGAGACCCGGGTTCGGTTCCCGCGAAGGGCATGTACTTTGGTTGCAGTTTGTCCCCGGCCCTGGTTGGTTGTGCGGGTGGCGACCACTCGATGTGTCCCTTTCACATCGATGTTTCTCTCTCTCTCTGTTCCTCTCTCTCCCTCCCACTCTATCTGAACAAAAAAAAAAAGGAAAAATCCTCGAGTGAGGACGATTAAAAAAAAAAAGAAACCTCCAAACAACCCAAAATGAGAACGTTGCACAAATAATCTCTCTTTTAAAAATACTTAGGCATCAAAGTTTCAAAAGAAATGATCCTGGAGCCCACTCTACCATGGCTGGGCGACTCCAGTTCTCTGTTTCTCGCCGGATTGGAGTGGCCCTCATAGTCCTGCCATAGCTACTCTCTATGCTCGCGTCAGACAGACGTGTCCTGTGTTTGCATCCAGACACTAATCTCAGCTTGTGCCATTGGTTATAGAAATCCTCCAGCCCACATCAGCACCTTACAGCTTCCAGGGCAACATGAAGTACACCTTCATGCGGGTCATCAAACAACAGTTCATCCTGAACGACACCCTCAATCAAAGTATCATTCGAGACACGTCGGGGAAATTGCTCATGGCTGCTGCATTAAATAATCTGGACCAAGCAGGTAACTGGACAACTTGGGTATCCTCCCTCTTATTTCTGTATTTCTTTCAAACTCTACTTTCAAAGAATACACCTCTCTAGATTCCTGGCTTTGCATGGCTCTTCTAGAACAGAAGAATGCATATCACCCCGGTAAAAAAAACCCAGGCAAGGACAGGAGCGTCAGCCGAACCCGGGCGCCCACGAGACAGGTGTCCTGTCTTTGAGAGCACCGAGTGCCGTGTACTGCTTTCTGATGTAGTTTCTCCTTCAGATCTCTCAGTCTCGTCCTCCATTTTAAAGATGAGGAAACTGAGTCTCAAAAACATTAAAGGACTCACCCCAATTTACCCAGAACCAATGAGGAGCCATCACACTTCATTAGAATCCCTGCCAATCAAACTTACAAAGAACACCAAACTAGAAAGAACTATTATCACAATCACATCATGTAACTGTGAGGCAATACAGCCCATAAGCTGCAAATATGTTCTGCAGGATGAAATTCAGTGTCTAAGAAGTTTTGTCACACAGATCCAGTGTCCATGGTGTACACGGTTTAGCTCCAGGATGTGTCATCGTGTACAAAACTATTTTCCAAGGTACACAGAGGCTCCCCTGCAGCAAACAGCAGGGTGCTTTCTGATTGGACTTCAGCTAACAAGCTTCCCACCCTACGACAGTTACAAATCATTCTGTGGTCCATTTTCACACAATTTCTCACATATTGATATGTTCTGTTGCAAATATCTTTGTATATATATTTTTTCCCTATGAGGTTATTTCTTTAGAGCATATCCCCAAAGCAGAACTCCTGGGTTCCCAGGCACATATAATTTTACAGCTCTTACTAAGTTTTGTTCTCGAAGGAAAACTAAACTACTTGTCACTAACACTAGCAATGTGAGTTTCAACTTCCCTAAACCCCTCCGTTTTAGGTCATTACAAACTCATGACTTCACAAATTGCAGGATCTTATTCCACTAGTGCAATTACAAGAGATTTAACAAATACTGAGCTCACAAGTATTCATTCAACATAGAAGATTCTAAAGACATTAACCAAGCCCTGGCTGGTTTGGCTCCGCAGTTAGAGCGTCAGCCTGTGGACTAGAGAGTCCCAGGTTCGGTTCCCGCTAAGGGCATGTACCTCTCTTCCAGTTTGTCCCTAGCCCTGGTTGGGGTCATGCAGGTGGCAACCACTCACTGTGTCTCTCTCACATCGATGTTTCTCTCTCTCTCTCTTCCTCACTCGTTCCCTCCCACTCTATCTGAAGATAAATGCAAAAATGTCCTTGGGTGAGGATAAAATAAATAAATAAAATAAAAAGTAAATAAAGACATTAACCAAGTGTCTACCTGCCTAGTAAATGTGGCGGACATGGTGAAGGACACGAAGATGCGCCAGTTCCATTTCTGCCACTTACACCATAGTTAGGGACCTAACACGCACACACGTGGACACACGCACGCACACAGTATCTACATAAACACTTGATTGTATACAAATGCAATAGATTTACTTTCTTTTTGGCTTTTCTCTCCTCTAGTGAAATTTGACATGGGTGCTTATAAATCAGATGATGTTAAACGTGTTGTGACCCTAAGAATCTCAGAATCACGACTGTTTTTGAGTGCCCAAAATGAAGGCGATCCCGTACTGCTAAAGGTCAGTTGTCCTTCGTCTTGAACTTACCTTCCTTACATCCCATACATTTGTAAATGACCCCAGTAGGCAGACAACTCTAACAGAGGGCACAGTCCTCTACTCTTCCTGTCACAGTCCCAGCTGCTCACCCGCCCCCATCCTGCTTCTCCCCCAGCCCCAGGGGCAATTCTGGCCAGGATCTGTGAGAGCGGAAAATGAAGGTGCAAGAATATATACGAGGTTAATTGCCTTCTTTCGTCTTTTTTGTTTCCCTGCCTGATCCTATACACCTCCCAGCCCAGGGCATCCACTTATTTCATCCATCTTTGATCCTTACTGACATCTACTATCTGACTTACGTAATAGGAGGCATTAGGACAATAGGCTTGCTTCCAAGAAACTCAAACAAGCCAACCGAGATCAGAGAGGATTGATTAATCATGTGCCAGCAGACACAAAGCAAACAGCTGGAGCCAAGATTCAAGCCCTGGCCTTCTGATTCTAGTGCCTCTCTCTGTTAGTGCCCACATTATCCCTGATCCCAGCTCCATCTCCACTGCCACCATCCCCTTCAGGCGTAGACACACACGCCCGCTGTAGTCTTAGAGTTTTCTCCACCGACAAGTAAGTGACTCTTAGTCAGTAAATGTATAATCCAACCCCCACCCCCACTAGGCTTTACGTGGTGCATGTGTTTCTCCACCTGGGTCCAGTAGCTTCATTCATGAAGCCATTCAGTACGTGTTATTTACTGGGAGTCAAGCATAGTACCAACAGCTGTGTAGACAGTGGCGCGGCACAATCCCTAACCTTATAGAACTTAGTCTCCTGGGAGACGCAGAGACGAGACAAGCCAAGTAACCAGTACAAAGCGCAAGGTGCTACAAGGCAAATAAACAGGGTGCTGAGAGAGAGGAAGGGGGGTGCTCTGTAGAGAGAGAGGCAAGAACAGAGCTCCCTGTGAAAAGAGGTGGCAGGGAGGGAGCATGCCCTCACGTGAGGAGGTGGGTGGGAGTGGTGCATTCTAAACAGAAGGCTCTGACTGCTCCCAGGCCCTAGGTCTTTAAGGGCTTAAAGGCCAGCTTCAAAGATCAAAAGGGCACTCTAGTTGCTGGGCACCATGAGGAGGAGGGAGAATAGGCAGAGGCTAGTGTTGGTGGAGTCTTGCATTTGGAGTTTATCTGAGGTACAATAAAAGGCCATTAAAGGGAGTTCACTTATATTTTCAAAAATGGAGAATAGATCAGAAGGAAGGTAATAGAGGAAGCAGAGGGCGCAAGTAGGAAGTAATAGCAACAGTCATGGGGTAGGAAGTGCTGAGACAGGTGGAAAGCAGTAGACAGAATCTTATTACATTTTGAAGACAAAACCAAAAAGAGCAAGAGGAGAAACTGCATTTACTGAGGTGAGAAAAATTAGGAGAGGAATAGATTTAGGAAATAAAATCCTTTTTGACATTGAAAACCCCAAGGAAACCTCAAAATAATATTTAGTTTCTTTAGACTAAGAAGAGTAGAAAAGGAGTATCTCAAGTTGGAATTTGAATTTTACTTTTCTCTGAAAGTATTGTTAAATCCTGTTCATAACCACAAGAAGAGTACAGCCTAAAGAGACCACAATCGTCAACAATTGCATTGAAAGTTTTCAGTTGCTAATATACCTGGGTGGTGTGTGTGTGTGTGTGTGCTCGCGCGCGTGTTTAACCTTCAATTGTTGACTCAAATACAGACATTGACATCTCTAAATTATAAACTATTTTCCCAAACTTACGATTTACACATTTTGATGTCAAAATCTTTAGAGATCTTGGAATTGCTAATGCTTAGATTTGATGCAAAATGCCTTACGCCTGTGTTGGAGGCAGGACAAGAATAACACTTAACCCCACCTGCCAGCATACAGGGAGACAATGGTGTCATTGGCAATCTTCATGACTAATTTGGATTTGTCTCCAGTTAACTAAGGAAATCAACTATGATGAATAGATGGGGCCATACATCTAACTGGCATGTAATACATACTTGCTGAATGAACAAGTGAATGAAGAACCTACATCACACACAGAGTCACAACCCTAACGTGCTATGTTTCTCACAAAGGCTACATGACAAGGGATTGAGCTTTGATTCTTTTTCTAGCATATTATTCTCTAACATTGCTGTCCTCCTTGTCCTAGGAGATGCCTGAGACACCCAAAACCATCACAGATGAGACCAATCTCCTCTTCTTCTGGGACATTCATGGCACTAAGAACTACTTTGAGTCAGTTGCCCATCCAAATCTCTTTCTTGCCACAAAGCAAGAACAGCCAGTGCACATGGCAAGTGGGCAACCCTCGAACACTGACTTTGAGATACTGGATAGCCAGCCTTGACTCTGGAGCCTACTTATCTGTGAAATGTTGACCATCCGTATGTACCATGTACATGAAGAAGTCAAATCCTTTACTCTTAGTCACTTGCTGAGCATGTGCTGAGCCTTCGTAATTCTAAATGAATGTTTGCTCTCTTTGTAAGGTCTAGTGAACCAACATTAATATATAATGCTGTTTGTTATTTAAGGAACACCCTATACTGTGCAAAGTACTAATCATTTTAATTATTATTATTCATAATAATCTTGGAAGGACCAAGGCTCCTGACTATCAAAAAGACTCTACCCACATTACATATGGGTTAACTAAGGCACAAGAAAACTGCTAAGAAAGATCCACAATGGCAGTTGGAATGAGAAGCCATAGACCCAGATTTCATTCCAACTGCCTGCCTTTTGCTTTTAAGTTGCTGATGGACCCTTAGTCAAATACTGTGAGTTTCTGGGACTTCAATTTGATCAAAATGGAAGGAATGACACCTATGTCCTTTCTGCCTCAGCAGTATTTTATGACCATCAATGAGACTATTTCAGTAAAATGCTTCTTGAAACTGAGCCTCAAGAATAAGGAAAAGCATGGAATATTATTTTAAGTTATTTATATATATTTATAAATATAATTTAATATTATTATAATATGTTATTATATTTATGGCAATTCGTTGCAATCTCTGAGTGTGACTGGGCATCTTCTACGACAGACAGTGTCCTCCAGGCCGAGTGAGTTTGATGTAGTCACCCTGAGGCTGTGTATTCTATTATCTGACATCCCTGTAATTATGATAATAAATTTATATTATTTTGTTTGTTTGAACTGATAAACGGTCAAAATCTTTCATTCCTCTGCCTTTCAACTTGCCTTGTCATGTGTGTGCCATTCAGTTTGACCTGCTGTCAAGTGTTGCTCACTAAAATGGAATAATTTGAGCCTAGGCAACCACAGGACAACTGTTATCTAAACTTTCTTTTCTGGAACATAAGCAATGTTCCTTCTAGGTTCTAAAGGTTGGAATCAAACCATAGTGTCACACTACCATCCACAATAAGCACTGATGACTTCATTATCAATCACAATGGAATAAAAATTCCAAAAAAGTAAATCTGACACAGAATTACTTATTGTCTTAATCATTTTTGACTGCATGGTAATTAGGAACAAATAATAAAAGTTCACATAAATAATTATAGCTTTACTTTACAAAACCAAACCAAGATTTTATGGTTTTTCTCTCCCCTTTGTTAGCTAGCCAGTAGCATAAATGGCATTAAGAATGATAATATTTTCAGGTTTTTTTAATGTTCACAGTACACACTTATAACACATTAATTCATATATCCACACAAACTCACATGTACAGAGCCACAGTAATAACTAACCAATGCATTTAGAAAGCATGGATACAAGATATGTTGAGTTGGAAAAAGTTAAAATCAAGGGAACTTGGAATTAGACATGGGAAATAATGGGGAAGGAGTAGTCCTAGATGGCTCTCAGCTTCCTGTTACTGCAGAGTAAGTGGGTGATGGTGTCAATCAGCACTCTTGGTAGAAATATATGGAGTTCTTCTCACTACCAGGATGCAGTACGGTGAGTACCATTTTAGACATGTAGTTAGAGCTACTGGCAGGATGCCCAAGTACATGTGTAGAATGGGCAAATGATGATGTAGCTGGAACTCAGGAGAAGTTAGAACTAGATATAGATTTGGAAGACACCAGGTGTATAGTAGGTAAAATCTTAAAAGTGACATCAGAGAAAGAATAGGAGAAAAGCACATGGTGAACACTGTTGTTTGCCTATGCAATTGCCATCTTCCCCGCCTAAAAGGTAAGAAGCTCACCATGATGGGGTTCGACAGTCTTGGCACTAAACTTGTTAGACTATTTTTCTTTTATGATGGCCTTCAGACACCAGTTTCCAAACTAATGAGAGAAAAGCCAAATCTCCACCTGTAAGTTCAAGGTACAGAAGCAAAAAGGACGTGTCCCTACCCCTCTTCCCACTAAGTCATCCCCGATACCCAAAAATACCTACACACAAACTTTTGGGGGTGATGAAAATAGTTGGGATAGTAATCATTCCTGTGGTAGATATAAATATGCTTGCATATCTATGTCTATTCCTCAACTGTATAGTGGTTTTATGACTATATACATTTGTCAAAATTGTCCTCTTGAGTCCTGACTAATGTTGTCAATGGTTTTTATAAAATTTGTTGGCCAGAATTAAGTATAACACTTAAGATATAGTCAGACCAGCAGAACTCAGAGTAGTATCTTGTCCTTCCTATTTCAGACACAATGCTTTTGTTAGAAAACAACATTAGCTCTTTGAAAGCAAGTGACATTGTTGACTCATATACTGTTCGGAGGCAATTAAGACCTAGACCAATCTTCAACCTAAGTTCAAACTTTAAATGTATTCCTGTTAAATTTAATCTTCATAATTTGGCCCCAGATCTTTTTACATCGTTTCAGATTCTGATGTTTTTTTAATATATACTGGCATTTCCTCTCCTCAGCTTTGTAACATCTGTAATTTAATGAGCATATTTTTATTTTGTTAACAGTATATTGTCAAGTATAAAATAGGTTACAAACATTTTACAGTGTGACCCTGTTTTTATTTAAAATACCTACAATTTATACTTAAATGATTATAAAAAGGTATGTATCCAAAAGTTAACAATCCTTACCTCTGAGTGATTGAATGATTTATAAGAGTTTTTGGTTATATATTTTCCTGGATTTTTTTCCTTCTTTTTTTGTTTTTTTATCCTCACCCAAGGACATTTTTCATTTTTTATTCAGAGAGAGAGAGAGAGAGAGAGAGAGAGAGAAGCATTTATGTGAAAGGGACTCATTGAATGGCTGCCTCCCACATGACCCAACCAGGGCCAGGGATAAACTGCAACTGAGGTATATGCCCTTAGCAGGAACCAAACCCAGGTCTCTCTGGACCGTGGGCCGACACTCTAACCACTGAGCCAAACTGGCCAGGGTGATTTTCCTGAATTTTTAAATAAATGTATGATTGCACAACAAAATACCAATTTACACAAAAATTTTTATGAGTTTGACTTTTATTTAGATTCCACATATAAGTGATACCATGGAACATTTATCTTTCTCTATCTGACTTATTTCATTTAGCATAATGTCCGCAAGGTCCATCCATATTGTGACAAACATCAAGATTTCTTTCTTTGGTATGTGGCAATAAAGAAATTTTGATGGGGCCCTGGCCGGTTTGGCTCAGCGGTTAGCGCGTCGGCCTGCGGTTGGGAGAGACCCGGGTTCGGTTCCCACTAAGGGCACGTACCTCGGTTGCAGTTTGTCCCCAGCCCTGGTTGGTTGTGCGGGTGGCAGCCACTCGATGTGTCCCTTTCACATCGATGTTTCTTTCTCTCTCTCTCTTCCTCTCTCTCCCTCCCGCTCTATCTGAACAAAAAATGGAAAAATGTCCTCGGGTGAGGATAAAAAAAAAAAAAAAGAAAGAAATTTTGATGGGCAACTAACTCGAAGTAGTTCTTAGTGCCATGAATTTCCCAGAAGAAGAGGAGATTGGTCTCATCTGTGATGGTTTTGGCTGTCTCAGGCATCTCCTAGGACAAGGAGGATGAAAATGTTAGAGAATAAGATGTTAGAACAAAAAAAATCAAAGCTCAATCCCTTGTCATGTAGCCTTTGTGAGAAACATAACACTTTAGGGTTGTGACTCTGTGATGTGATGTAGGTTCTTCATTCACTTGTTCATTCAGCAAGTATGTATTACATGCCTGTTAGATGTATGGCCCCATCTATTCATAATGTAGTTGATTTCCTTAGTTAACTGCAGGCAAAGCCAAATTAGTCATGAAGATTGCCAATGACACCATTGTCTCCCTGCGTCCTGGCAGGTGGGGTTAAATAGGACATACATATGGCCAAGAGACATATGAAAAAATGCTCAGCCCCATTAACCATCAGAGATGCAAATAAAAATGACAATGAGGTATTACCTCACACCTATCAGAATGGCTGCCATCATCAAATCACCACACAGCAAAGTGCTGGCGAGGGTGTGGAGAAAAGGGGATTCTAGTACACTGCTGGTAGGAACGTAGACTGGTGCAGCCACTATGGAAAACAATATGATGTTTCCTCAAAAAATTAAAAATTGAACTTCCATTTGACCCAGTGATTCCACTTCTAGGAATATATCCTAAGAAGCCTGAAACACCAATTAGAAAGAATATATGTGCCCCTATGTTCATAGCAGAAGTATTTACAATTGCTAAGATCTGGAAACAGCCCAAGTGTCCATCAATAGATGAGTAGATGAAAAAGTTATGGTACATTTACACAATGGAATACTACACAGCTGTAAGAAAGATCTCATACCATTTGAGATGACATGGAGGGACCTGAAGAGTATTATGCTGAGCAAAATAAGCCAACCAGAGAAAGACTAATATCACATGATCTCACTTATTTGTGGCATATGAACAAAATAAGCTGGTGAACAAAACAGACCCAGAGACATGGAAGTGGGGTACAGACTGATAAACCTCAGAAGAGGGGGGCATGGGGCAGGGAAGAAATAAACCAAAGAACATATATACATAACCAATGGACATAGACAACAATGTGGGGGGGGTGGCAATAAGGGGAAAAGGAGAAACATCTGTGACAAAAACAAATTAATAAAAATAAATATAATAATAGAGTTCTTTGGCAATTCGAAGTCTTTGGTGCTTGCTTACAAATTTTAGAATCATTTGTTCTATTTCTGTAAAAAATGCCATTGGAATTTTGATAGGGGTTGTATTGAATCTGTGGGTCACTTAGGGTAGTATGGACATTTTAACAGTATTAAGTCTTCCAATTTATGAGAATGGATTATCTTTCCATTTATTTATAGTTTTCAATGTACAGACCTTTCACTTCCTTGGTTAAATTCATTCCTAAGTATTTTATTCTTTTTTGATGCAATTGTAAATGGAGTTGTTGTCTTAGTTTCTTTCTGATAGCTTGTTGTTAGTGTATAGAAATGCCATTGATTTCCGTATATTGGTTTTCTAACTGGCAAATTTACTGAAACCAATGGTTTTTTTTTGTTTGTTTGGGTTTTTTTGTTTTTGGTTTTGGTTTTTTGGGTGTCTTTGGAGTTTTCTATATATAATATGTCATCTGCAAATAGAGACAATTTTACTCTTTCCTTTGACTTTTACTTATGCCTAATTGTTCTGACCAAGACTTCCAGTACTATGTCGAATAGAAACGATTTGAGTAGACATCCTTGTCTGGTTCCTGATCTTAGAGGAAAAGCTTTCGACTTTTCATCATTGAGCAGATGTTAGCTGTGGGATTGTCATTGATAGCCTTTATTATGTTGAGGGGCATTCCTCCTATAGCCAGCTTGTTGCGAGTTTGTATCATGAATAGATATTGAATTCTGGCTAATGCTTTTTCTGCATCTATTGGGGTTTATCCTATTTTCCGTTGGTTTTGACAGAAAGGGAAGTTCTCCTGCCGGAAACCCTAGCATCCCCACGCCCTCCATCCGCTGCCTTAAACGGCGCCGGGCAGCTCGCTCCTCCAATCAAAAAGCCTTGAGCGGAGCCAAGCGCAAAGTTACTATTTTCTTTTGTCCCTCCCTCCCCAGCTTCCTATTGGCAGGTTTCAAACCCTTGGGAGCCAATGAGAGAGGGCGCAGGCACGGAGCGCGTCCTCAGCTGCGGGCGCGGCCTTTGAAGAGCAACTGTCACGGAGGAGCACGATGGTGCGGCCGGGGCTCTCCGCCGCTGTGGGTGAGTGCCCTGGGGCAGCGGGGTGCGGCGGGCTGTCTCGGTGGAGGCTGCTGTCCGCCTCGCCTGCCTCAGTGTCCCCAGTGGGCGCTTGGGGCACCAAGGAAACGTCCGCGCGCGGGGAGCCCCGGGACCCCGCAGACACTTCCCCAGCAGGTCCTGCAGCAGCTCTGCCGGGCGTCACGGCCCCCGTCGGTTGGCCGGGGCTGCGCGTCCAGGAGGATCCAGGCGCCTCCCCGGCTCAGGGTGGCCCCCGCAGGCCTTGAGCCTGCACCGCGGCCGCTAGCCGGGGTTGGGTCCAGCCTCCGCCCGGAGGGCGTGGATCCCCCGTCCCCACCTCCCAGGTGGGCCGGCGCTTGGACAGTGTCGGCGATGACACCTGTTGGCCTGATGCGTCCTGGGCGCTTCACTTAATGACCAGACTGGTGAAGTTGGGCACCTTTGCCCCCATGTATGGCCCAGCAGCAGCAGATTTGTTAACGTGTTAGACCTCCCAGAACTGGGGTCCCCCTGCTGTCCACTGCCTGGCGCTGCTCTGGCTCCCAGGGTTGCATCAGAGCCGGAGGAGAGTAGATATGTGATAACAGATTTGCACCCTGTAATGTTTTGTTAGTCACTGTTGAATTTTATTTTTTCCCAACCACCTTCTCTTTTCAGCCCTTGCCTCTGAACTCCCATAATTCTTTCTTTAACCCTGTCTTATTGGCACCCAAAGTTTGCCTTGTGTTGTAATTATTGTGTTTATTTTATATCCATTACTGCATTGCCATTTGAAAACAGACATATTGACTTTCATCCCCTCACAGAAAAATCACCATATGGGTGTTTGCCATGAACCCCCTAACCTGGCCTATTTTGTCCTTAATCCCAAGGAAACCAAGAAGGGTTTGTGGACAAAAATCATCATTCCTGATGAAAAAAATATAATAAGACCAGGCCTTGCTCAGCAGCTCAGATGGGCCAGTAACAGAATTCCTTATACAGAGTATATGTTGTAGCTGAGAACAGTGCCTGTGAGGAAGGGCCCTGGGGTTGGATAAAACTGGCTTCAGATCCTGGTTTTGCCAGATATTAGCTGGGTATCTTTGGGCCTATCACTTACCCTCTTTAAATGTCAGACTGGCATATAAATGATATGGTTAATGTTGATATTAACTTGGAGGCATGGTCCAAAGCTGAAATCGTTACTGAAAGTGTCATTCTTTTAGAATATAAATGAACTGGTTACAATCCTAACTGAAGTCCTGTTGTTTGCTGGCCTGTTTTGCAGAAGAGCGGCAGAGAAAGCTCCAGGAGTACCTAGCAGCCAAGGGAAAACTGAAGTGCCAAAACAGCAAGTGAGTTTCTCTCCCGCAGTTATAGGACTCTTGTTCACCTGGTTGCTAATAGCAATTTAAAGCCCTTTCAAACATAGCCCTTTTGCTTGCGATCTACTCTGACTACATTGACAATCTATGGTAACTCAAAAAGTGTTTCAGTTCGAGCATGACAGAAACCTCTGGGCAGTATCTAGTACATTGGCAAAGATTTAAGCATTATTATTATGACAGTCTCTAAAGGGAGGAGGAAAGGATCTGTAATATTATTCCTGTCCCTGCTTTTTTCCTGGGAAAGTAATTCTTGTGAAGGCAATTTTGGGTCAAGGAGTTGAATTACCCTCGTTCAGTCCTCCGTAGCTGCACATGAACATCCTTTGCCTGATGGTGCTCTTTGGTCATTCTCTTAGCACAGTGATTTTCAACTATTTTCATCTCATGGCACACAAACTAATTACTAAAATTCTGTGGCACACTAAAAAATATATTTTTTGCCCATCTGACAAAAAGTAGGTAGAGTTTTGATTCATTCACACCAGACAGCTATTGTGTTGGCTGTGGCACACCCATTGAATATCGCTGTTAGCACTTTCTCTTAAGGTGGACATGATATGACCCATTCATTTTTGTCTTTTGTCAACATCTTGCCATCTTTGTGATGTAATTTATCCCTCTACTGAGCATTGATCAATTTTCTGCTCACTTGGGTTGCTAAACGTTTTTGTTTGTTTTTTTCACAAAGTTAGCTTTCACACTTTATGTGTTTCTTTTTACTTTGTGTTTTGTTTTGTTTTGTTTCCTTTTGTATTTTTTGTCCTCACCCGAGGACATTTTTTTATTATTTGTTCAGATAGAGCGGGAGGGAGAGAGAGGAAGAGAGAGAGAGAGAGAAACGTCGACGTGAAATGTACACATCGAATGGCTGCCACCCCCACGACCCAACCAGGGCTGGAGACAAACTGCAACCGAGATACATGCCCTTAGTGGGAACCAAACCCGGTCTTTCTGGACCTCAGGCCGGCGCTCTAACTGCTGAGCAAACCAGCTAGGGCTTACTTTGCATTTTTATTCAACTCTGTTTCTTTGATTAAATAAACCTACTGTGTTTATTCAACAGATATGGTGCTTAACAAGTCATGATCGAATTTCCTCTTAACCTGGCAATTACTTATGATCCATGGAGATTAAATCCTTCTAAATTCTCCAGCTAGATTTTATAAGTGCCTATTTTTGTGTGTGTGGGTTTTTTGTGTGTTTTTGGTTTTTTTTATTGTGTCACTTTTCCCCTGATAATTCACTATTTGAAGATACTTGAAACAAGTTTTTTAAAACTTGTTTGACCCTGGCCAGTTTGGCTCAGCGGTTAGAGTGTTGGCCTGTGGTCCAGAGAGACCCAGGTTCAGTTTCCACTAAGGGCACGTACCTCGGTTGCAGTTTGTCCCTGGCCCTGGTTGGGTTGTGTGGGTGGCAGCCACTCGATGTGTCCCTTTCATGTCGATGTTTCTCTCTCTCTCTCCCGCTCTCTTCCTCTCTCTCCCTCCCACTCTATCAGAACAAAAAATGGAAAAATGTCCTCAGATGAGGATAAAAAAAAAACTTGTTTGGCATTGTATCTCCAGTGCCTGGCACATTGCAGTGTTCCAGGAATTATGTTGGAATGAATAAGACAGCAAATAAAGAAAAGACATATTTCATGAATATAGTTAAAATATTATATTTATAGTTAGGATGTCTCTGATGGGATCACAGACAAGTGGGTAAGAGCAGTACTGGTCTCTGGGAAGTAGAATAATGGGACTAAGGAAGGGAGGATAAGGAGACTTCACTGAATATAATTTTTAATTATTTTACCATATACAGAAATTTTAATGATTTAAAATTCCATTTTTAATTACTGTACTTTCCAAGCCTTGTTGATTCTTCTGTACTGAGAATTAATCTTAATGTGTCTTTTATAGGCCTTATCTGAAAGCCAAGAATAATTGCCCAAATCCTCCTCCTTCTAAATCTGTAAGTAGAAATTAGTCTTTTAAAAAATATCAATTTTGGGTGATTAGTAGTAAAAATAATAAAGGTGTTAGCAATCTAAAGAAAATGTTTTACACAAATATTTCTCATAAATGTAGGAACAGTTTATAAGGGACAGAATTGGTTTATTTATGTATTTATTTTATTTTTAATTTTATTTTTGTTACAAATGTTTCTCCTTTTTTACCCCATTGACACCCTCCTCCCCATCCCCCCCACCCCGTCCGTGGCTTTGTTGTCCATGTCCATTGGTTATGCATACATGCATATAAGTTCCGTGGTTTATCTCCTCCCTTCCCCCACCACCCCCTCTTCTGAAGGTTGTCAGTCCGTACCCTACTTCCATGTTTCTGGGTCTACCCTATTCCTCAGACTGCTATGTTCATTATGTTCCATAAATAAGTGAGATCATGTAGCATTTGTCTTTTTCTGCTTGGCTTGTTTCACTTAGGATAATACTTTCCAGGTCCCTCCATGTCGTCTCAAAGGATAAGAGATCTTTCTTTCTTCCAGCTGCATAGTACTCCATTGTGTACATGTACCACTGCTTTTTTATCCATTCATCTACTGCTGGACACTTGGGCTGTTTCCAGATCTTAGCTATTGTAAATAGTGCTGCTATGAACATGGGGGTACATATATTCTTCCTGATTGGTGTTTCAGGCTTCTTAGGGTATATTCCTAGCAGTGGGATCACTGGGTCAAATGGAAGTTCAATTTTTAATTTTTTGAGGTAACACCATATTGTTTTCCATAATGGCTGCATCAGTCTGCATTCCCATCAGCAATGTACTAGAGTCCCCTTTTCTCCACACCCTCGCCAACACTTGTTGTTTGATGATTTGTTGATGGCGGCCATTCTGACAGGTGTGAGGTGATATCTCATTGTTTTAATTTGCATCTCTCTGAAGATTAGTGATTTTTTTTTTAAGTACAATATATTGTATAGTTCAGTTTTGTTAACAAAAAAAAAAAATTTTTCAAGTGCACTTTGGTCTCTTTATAGCTAATATTTATTGAACACCTACTATGTGTCTGTGCTTTTCTCATTTGCATTAACTCATTAAGTCCTTACAGTCTTATGAGGTAGCTACTATTACTAGCCCCATTTTACAGATAAGGAAACTAACAGCTTTTAAATACAGAGGTGAGAGCCTGTGGTCTCAACCACTTTGGGATGCTGTTTAACGAGAATATGCTTCCTAATCAGTTTCATTCAATTAGATTATGGGTAGAATGGAAAAGGATTCCAATATACTTAGGGTTTAATGGAATATTTATTCAGCCATAAAAAATAATGAAGTGCATGGCTGGGCATAATGAGTCTATGCTCTGGGAATGCTCTTTAATTTACACTCAATTTGGATTTGAACCTAAAATGGCTCTAAAAATTAAATTTTATTAATTTAAAAGTAATGAAGTACTGACACATGCTACAACATGGGTGAGTCTCGAAAACATAATGCTAAGTTAAAGAAGCCAGACACAAAAGGCCACATACTGTATGATTCCATTTATATGAAATGTCCAAAATAGGGAACTCTACAGAGACAAAGTAGATTAGTGGTTGCCAGCGTCTCAGGGGAGAGGGAAATAGGGAGTAACTTCTAACAAGTGTGGAATTTCTTTCTGGGGTGATAAAATGTTCTGGAATTAGTAGCAATGTTTCTGAATATTTACTAAAACCCACTGGATCGTATGCTTTAAGTTTTTATGGGGTGCAAATTATATCTCAATTGTTTTTAATGTGCAGAAAAAGAACAACTAAGGAATAGCACACTTTGATACCAACCTTCATACCTCAGCAGTAAGTGATAATGGAGAGATCAGAGATGGATATGAATGTTGGGACTCAAGGAGTAACCCAGCTAGAGCCATGTGGGTGCACCATTTATCTCTGCCCCCACCCCAGCAACACCACATATACCCGTACAATGCTAGGAATGGACATCACCTTGCCCTTAATGCCAAGTGGCTCTGGTTACAGACTTCCCTTACATATTCACCAGGTTTACATAGTGACTCTTGACAATATTATTGAATGAAACAATGTGGTAGCTCTAGCACTCCCACATCTTCCCCTATGCTTTACAAACCTCTGCCAAACTCACCTTTCTGAGTAATTGCTTTTAGTACTGCTGCTCCTGTTCTAACATACCAATTCTAACTCCCCTCCTTACTTTCCAAAGTTCTCTGTAACCTACCTTTCTTATCCAAAATTAAATCACATGACTGAGACATTTAGTTGTTAATAACATAGAATCTAACCTTAAAACCAATCCTGAGTCCACAAATATGTCTAACTTCTGTGATGTTAGATAGTTATGGAGAGCTATTCTGAAGTCTCGCAGGACTTCCAGCATCTACCACCTGTCCTTGCAATTGAGACAGAGGTTCTTGAGTGACACTGTGACCTTTACAAAGTCAGTATTGTCTTTAGAAAATTAGTATAGCAGTACAAAGGACTAGGAGGAACTTGGGTGGTACCCTAACATAAGTGTACTGTGTGTATATCTTTCCAGGGTCCCTGCCAGGGACACTTCACTGGGACATAATGGACATTCAGCAAGTACTTGTTTGGTTGAGGCAAGATTATTTTTTAAGTGGAAAATTTTGTGTGTTCACTGCATCTCTGCTTAATTCTATCAAACTAAAAGATTCTGATATGTTTCTAATAAGAACTCATAAAAATCCTGTTTTAGTGAGCCTTTCTTTTCTCAGGTTTCAACTTCCTTAAGTGAAATTCTATAAAATAACAAATTTTTTATTTTAAAAACAGTGAGCTATTCTTATGAATTTACTTTTTTTATTTTTTTCTTTGTCTTTTTAGACGATTAGACCCAAAAAGGATGTTACCAACCGTGTTGCTTTGCCTGTCAAAGCTACAAGACCCATCAGCATTAACCGTCAGCCCAGACCTGCCAGTATCCTAGTGTCCCAGAAGCCAAAGTTGGAGCCACCAAAACTTCTGGGCAAAAGGCTGCCTTCGGGATGTGTTTCTTCTGATCCAAACTGTAAGCCTTCCAGCAGTCACCAGCCATGGCACAGAGCTGGATCATCCTCTGGAGAGCTGTCAAGGAAAACTGGGGGGTCACTTAATATCCAGGAACTGAAAGCTGCAAAGGGGACAGATCAAGGAAAAGCTGCACATACAGACTCTGTGGACATTGTCCCTGGTGAGGGTGAGACCTTGCACAGCCCTGTAAACGAGGTGAACAAAGAGAATGTGTCCCAAACCTTACTGGACTCTGAGAAGATGCCACATACTCAATTGTGGACCAAAAATAAACCAAAGAATAGCTCTCATAATCAAACAAGGGGCAGTTTGGCCCCTAAACAAGACTTGGGTAAAAGTTTGTTGAGTCGTGCTGTTCTGCAGGACAGAGCAAACAAACAAGTTGGAGAAACACGAACCAGGATTCTACCGGTGAAGTCACAGCAGCTCCCTAGAGGAGCAGCTCCTGTGCAACCAGGAGAAAAACCCCCAAGGACAGTTCCCTCTACATTGGTTCAGACCCTTAGTAGGACTCAAGCATCAAAGAAACCAGGGATCAAGGATATGAAGGATATAAATGTTAATAGGAGCAAATATTTAAGACCAGGTGGAGCAAAGTTACAGTCACACACTGTAACTGAACAAAAAGTAGAACATGCCAGACCCAGGACAAACCCCAGTCTACTTCAGGGAGGACCTGCTCACATTAAGCAAGACCAGAAACTCACTCAACCTTGTTCTAGACCTCGGACGTCATCTGTGCAGCAGAAATCCAAAGCTCTGAGCCAAAGACCTAACCTGGCAGTTGGCAGCTTTACCTCAGTCATTCCCAACACCCCAAGCATGAAAGCAATTACAGCCAAGGCGAATAAACACAACAGCACCTGTCCACAGAAAACACAGACCCTGGACTCCAAATTGAAAGGGGCTCTTCCCCAGAGCCATTTTCTCAACAAGACAGCTCCCAAAACTCAAGCTGGTGGCACAGCCGTGAACAGAAGAGGAGTCCTGAATGGTACGCAAACAAACCCAGATGTTAGGAAGAAGGCCACAGCAGAGGATCGAAGGTATATTGCTTTAATTCCAAAATTGCCATTTAAGATGATTAGGTAAATTGATCATTGTTTATGGCCTATGTTCCTGGTCAGAAAAATAACTTCAGCCCTGAAAAAAGAAGATTTGAAGCAAACATGTCAAAATTATCTATAACTTTCTGTGTGCTTGAGGCACGTGTAGATGAGTCATTCAAGAAGGCCCCGCAGGTTGAGCAGCAGGGGAAGAAGGCAGAGAGGGGTAGGGAGATGCTAGTCCCTCATCAAGCAAACCAGGGGTTAAATCCAGAAAAGTTATCGAGGAAGAAGGAATAGGAAGCTTCCATGTGTCTGAGCAGGCAGCTTTAGAAAGTCAGTAAGGCAGAGAAGAGCAGGCCCACTTCTGATTACAGGACCATGCATTTGTCAAAACACAGAACTGCAGTCTTAAAAAAGGGAGTTTAGCCCTGGCCGGTTTGGCTCAGCGGTTAGAGCGTCGGCCTGCGGTCCACAGAGACCCAGATTCGGTTCCCGCTAAGGGCATGTACCTCGGTTGCAGTTTGTCCCCGGCCCTGGTTGGTCGTGCGGGTGGCGGCTACTCGGTGTGTCCCTTTCGCATCGACATTTCTCTTTCTCTCTCTCTCTCTCTCTCTCTCTCTCTCTCTCATCCTCTCTCTCCCTCCCACTCTATCTGAACAAAAAATGGGAAAATGTCCTCGGGTGAGGATTAAAAAAAAAAAAAGGGAGTTTAGCCCTGGCCAGTTTGGTTCAGCGGTTAGAGCATTGGCCTGCGGTCCAGAGAGACCCGGGTTCGGTTCCCGCTAAGGGCATGTACCTCGGTTGCAGTTTGTCCCCGACCCTGGTTGGGTCGTGCGGGTGGCAGCCACTCGATGTGTCCCTTTCACATCGATGTTTCTCTCTCTCTCTCTGTTCCTCTCTCTCCCTCCCACTCTACCTGAACAAAAAAAAATGGAAAAATGTCCTCGGGTGAGGATTAAAAAAAAAAAAAGAGTTTAACTGCATGTTACTGAACACTTGTGTGTTTTAGGTACTGTGCTAGGACAGCCAGGGTTTCTGCCTTCCTCCAGCTTGCATTTTAGTGGAGAAACAGGAAACATGGGCACATTGGTTAAATCAAACAGGATCATTACCGATCATTTCCTAGTTGGAAAGGACTGAAGGCTGATAGTGCAGACCCTGGAGAGGAACCAGCTGGGGTCAAAAGACTGAAAGGACGCCAGGGCTCCTGGAGGGTGGGGGTGAGAGGGAGAGGCGTGCAGGACTCCAGGGCTCCTGGAGAGGGGCGGTGAGAGGGAGAGGCGTGCAGGACGCCAGGGCTCCTGGAGGGTGGGGGTGAGAGGGAGAGGCGTGCAGGACGCCAGGGCTCCTGGAGTGGGGCGGTGAGAGGGAGAGGCGTGCAGGACGCCAGGGCTCCTGGAGGGTGGGGGTGAGAGGGAGAGGCGTGCAGGACGCCAGGGCTCCTGGAGGGGGGCGGTGAGAGGGAGAGGCGTGCAGGACCCCAGGGCTCCTGGAGTGGGGCGGTGAGAGGGAGAGGCGTGGGCACCGCCTCGGAGAGGCTGACGAACTCAGACTACACTGCCGCTCGCCATAGGCAGCGTCTTGAATTTTATTCCTGGTAGTGACTCAGTCTGGCTTATATTTTAAAATCACTCTAGATACTTGTACAGTTGGCCCTCATTTATCGAGGTTAATCAGTTCCAGACTCTACCGCGATAAATGGATTTTCACGATGTAGGATTCTTTATACACAGTCATCCCTCGCCACTTTGCGCTTGGACTTTGGTGGCTTCACTCTATCGCGGTTTTTTTCAAATACTGTACATGGTGTGAATCTGTTACGGGTTGGAATGGAAGCAGAAAGGAGATGAGTTAGGAGGCAGCTACAGCATTTCAGGCAGAAAGTGGCAGTGACATGGTCTAGGATGGTGCTGGTGGAGGTGGGGACAGTACCGTCCATATGGTGGTGTGTGGAGGGGGGCACAGTACCATTCTTACAGTGGTGTGGGAGGTGGGGACAGTACTGACCAAACGATAGTATGGGAGGTGGGGACAGTACCATCCATACGGTGGTGTGTGGAGGTGGGGACAGTACTGTCCATATGGTGGTGTGTGGAGGTGGGGACAGTACCGTCCATACAGTGGTATGAAAAGTGGGGAGTACCGTCCATACGGTGGTGTGTGGAGGTGGGGGCAGAACCGTCCATACGGTGGTGTGTGGAGGTGGGGGTAGTACCGTCCATACGGTGGTGTGGGAGGTGAGGAATGAAAGTACTGCTCAAAGACAACTCCTAGTTTTAGACCCGCACAACTGGGTGGATGGATAGGGACACTATTACTGATACAGGGACAGATATAGAGATTAAAATCAAGAGCATTGTTTTGGACAATATTAAAGTTGAAACGCCTGCCAGACATCAAATAAAAGATATCAGCCAGGCTATGGGTTTTTTTGTTTGTTTTTGGTCCACCCCCGCCTTACTCTGAGCTTTGTCAATCTGAACCGTACTCCTTTCTTTTTTTTTTTTTTTTTTATCCTCACCCGAGGACATTTTTCCATTTTTTGTTCAGGTAGAGCGGGAGGGAGAGAGAGGGACAGAGAGAAACATCGACGTGAAAGGAACAAATCGAGAGGCTGCCACCCGCACAACCAACCAGGGCCGGGGACAAACTGCAACCGAGGTACGTGCCCTTAGCGGGAACCGAACCCGGGTCTCTTTGTACCGCAGGCCGACGCTCTAACCGCTGAGCCAAACCGGCCAGGGCTGAACCGTACTCCTTTCTATGTCTCTGGATCTATTTCGTTCATCAGCCCACCTTGTTCATTATATTCCATAAATAAGTGAGGTCATGTGGTATTTGTCTTTCTCTAATTGGCTTATTTCGCTAGCATAATACACTCACTCCAGGTTTCTCCACATTGTCTCAAAGGATAAGAGATCTTTCTTTCTTTCTTTTTTTTTTTTTTTTTTATCCTCACCCGAGGACATTTCTCCATTTTTTGTTCAGATAGAGTGGGAGGGAGAGAGAGGACGAGAGAGAGGACAAGAGAGAGAGAGAAACATCGATGTGAAAGGGACACATCGAGTGGTTGCCACCCGCACGACCAACCAGGGCCGGGGACAAACTGCAACCGAGGTACATGCCCTTAGCGGGAACCGAACCCGGGTCTCTCTGGACCGCAGGTCAACGCTCTAACCGCTGAGCCAAACCGGCCAGGGCGAGATCTTTCTTTCTTATAGCTGCATATATGTACCACAGCTTTTTTATCCACTCATCTATTGATGGACACTTGGGCTGTTTCCAGATATCAGTGATTGTAAATAGTACTGCTGTGAACATAGGAGTTTATATATTCTTTCTGATTGGTGTTTCAGGCTTCTAGGATATATTCCTAGAAGTGGAATCACTGGGTCAAATGGCAGATCAATTTTTAATTTCTTGAGGAAATACCATAGTGTTTTCCATAGTGGCAACACCAGTCTGCATTCCCACCAGCAGTGTACTAGCGTCCCCTTTTCTCCACACCCTCACCAACACTTGTTGTTTGATGATTTGTTGATGGCGGCCATTCTGACAGGTGTGAGGTGATACCTCATAGTCATTTTAATTTGCATCTTTCTGATGATTAGTGACGCTGAGCATTTTTTCATACGTCTCTTGGCCATTTGTATGTCCTGTTTGGAGAGGTGTCAATTTAGGTCCTCTGCCCATTTTTTAATTGGGTTCTTTATCTTCCTTTTCTTGAGCTGTATGAGCACTCTATATATTTTGGAAATAAACCTCTTATCTGATGTATGATTGGCAATTATGCTCTCCCATAGAGTGGACTGCCTTTCCATTTTGATGGTTGTTTCTTTTGCTGTGCAGAAGTTTTTGAGTTTGATGTAGTCCCATGTGTTCATTTTTTTCCTTTGTTTCTGTTGCCTTAGGTGATATACCAGTGAAAATTCTGCTGGTATGATGTCTAAAATTTTGTTGCCTACATTTTCTTCTTGGATTTTTATGGATTCACGAGTCACGTTTAAGTCTTTTATCCATTTTGAGTTTATTCTTGTGTAAGGTGTAAGTTGATGGTCTAGTTTCATTTTTTTGCATGTAGCTGTCCAATTTTCCCAATACCATTTATTAAAGAAGCTGTCTTTACTCCACTGCATGCTCTTGCCACCTTTGTCAAATATTAATTGAGCATAATGTCTTGGGTTAATTTCCGGGTTCTCTGTTCTGTTCCATTGATCTATATGCCTGTTCTTGTGCCAGTACCAGGCTGTTTTGATTACAGTGGCTTTGTAGTATAACCTGATATCAGGTATTGTGATCCCACCTACTTTGTTCTTCTTCAAGATAGCTGTTGCTGCTCAGGGTCTTTTTTGGTTCCATATGAACTTTTGAAGTATTTATTCTAGTTCTGTGAAATATGTCACTGGTATTTTGATGGGGAGTACATTGACTCTGTAGATTGCTTTGGGTAGTATGGATGTTTTAATGATGTTAATTATTCCAATCCATGAACAAGGTATGTGCTTCCACTTTCTTATATCTTCCTCTATTTCTTTTTTCAATGTCCTGTAGTTTTCTGCAAATAGGTCCTTTACTTCTTTGGTTAAGTTTATTCCTAGGTATCTTAATTTTTTTGCTGCAATGGTAAATAGGATTTTTTTTATTTGTTTCTCTTTCTGTGAGTTCATCATTGGTGTATAAGAATGCCATCGATTTCTTTATGTTAATTTTGTATTCTGCTACCTTGCCAAGTTTGTTTATTAAATCTAGCAGATTTTTGATGGAGTCCTTAGGGTTGTCTATGTGTAATGTCATGTCATCAGCGAATAATGACTATTTCATTTCCTCCTTTCCAATTTGGATCTCTTTTATTTTTTTTCTTCATGTTTGATTGCTGTGGCTAAGACTTCCAGTACTATGTTAAATAATAGTGGTGAAAGTGGGCATCCCTGTCTTATTCCTGTTCTTAAGGGAAATGCTTTTAGATTTTGCCCATTGAGTATAATATTGGCTGTTGGTTTTTCATATATGGCCTTTATTATGTCAAGATGTGATCTCTCTATTCCCACATTGCAGAGCATTTTTATCAGAAATGGATGCTGGATTTTGTCGAATGCTTTTTCAGCATCTATTGATATGATCATATGATTTTTATCTTTCATTTTGCTTATGTGGTATATCACATTTATTGACTTGCAAATATTGTACCAGCCTTGCTTCTCTGGGATGAATCCCACTTGGTCATGGTGAATAATTTTTTTAATGTATTGCTGGATCCAATTTGCCAGTATTTTGTTCAGGAATTTGGCATCTATGTTCATCAGGGATATTGGCCTGTAGTTTTCTTTCTTTGTAGTGTCTTTATCTGGTTTTGAAATTAGAATTATGCTGGCCTCATAAAACAAGTTTGGAAGGCTATCTTCTTCTTGATTTTTTTTTTTTTTTATCCTCACCCGAGGACATTTTTGTATTTATCTTTAGACAGAGTGGGAGGGAAAGAGGGAGGAAGAGAGAAAGAAAAACATCGATGTGAGAAAGACACATCGAGTGGCTGCCACCCACACGACCCCAACCTGGGCCCAGGACAAACTGCAACCGAGGCACATGCCCTTAGCAGGAACTGAAACCGGGACTCTCAGGTCCGTGGGATAACTCTAACTGCTGAGCCAAACCAGCCAGGGCGCTTCTTGAATTTTTTGGAATCGAATGGGTGTTAGTTCTTTGAATGTTCGGTAAAACTCCCCCGTGAAGGTGTCAAGGCCTGAGCTTTTGTTTGCTGGGAAAGTCTTGACTGATTACATCTTCAATTTCCTTAGCTGTTATTGGTCTGTTAAATCAGCAAGGGAGGGGCTACTGCTTCTCTCTAGGGCTCTGGGAAGGGGCTCCCCAAGCAAGATGGCACTGTCCTGTGCGGCCATGACTCAGCAAAAACTCTCAGCGCTTTCCAAATCCCGAGTGACCTCACACAGTTCCAGTCCAGTTCACCCTCCCTCTTCCAGAGCTGAAGGTGAGTGGCTATAGCTAATTTAGTTCTCTGTCCCAGCCCTCTGCACTGCAGAGCCAGCTTGGGATTTTAACCCCAAGGGAGCTGCTCACAGCTAAAACAGCTGCTGTCCATGGGCTCCCAGCCTGCCCTCTTGTGCCTTCACAGACCTATCAGGCTCTATTCAGTGTCCTTTTCTTCCTGTCCCTGGTTACATGGGTCCTATCCTGCTACTTTTCTGTTGCTTTTCCCCAATGATTTGTCTTTATTTTAGTTGTAATTTTAGTTTGGTCCTGGGAGATGGTCTGTGTAGCTTCCATTCACTCCGCCGCCATTTTGGAATGTCTCACTGCAGTGGTTTTTGTTTGGGTTTCATCACACCTCAGAAATGCCAGAAGTAAGCAATTGGAAGGCAGGGATAGAATTCTAGATAGCGCTCTGGGCCACATTATCCACAGCGTATGCAGTAGCCTTGGGGAGCAGGCACTGAGGTCTGTGTTTGTACCACTTGTGTTGAGGTAGAAAGAGGACTGGAGTTGAGGTCGAGAGGTCTGGATTTGAATCTCAGTCATACATACCATTTCAGGCTATGGGTTTTACAAAGCTTGGGACTGTAGAGAGAGATCTGGGCTAAAATGTACATTTGTGAGTCATGAAAGAAGCTAGCAAGTCTACATCCACACTGGGTCCACATGTCTTGGTGCCTTTTCCAGCAGCAATTGGCTGCTCAGAAGCAGAAGAGGAGATTGTGAAAAGTGGGGGGATAGCAAGGGTTAGGACTTATCACCATCTTTAAAAAAAAGAGCCCTGAAATTATTGGTCTTGTTTAGAGTAAAGAGGGCTAAGGAACTGGATAAAGTGATCACTCTGAGTGGCCAACACACTGTTGAGGGTATAGTGCAACTATGGTGGGTCTGGTCAGTGGCAGATATAAAGCTTGTGGCCCTGGCCAGTGTGCTCAGTGGTTAGAGTGTCAGCCTGCACAACGAAGGGTCACGGGTTCAATTACTAGTCAAGGGCACTTACCTGGGTTGTAGGTTTGATCCCCGGCCCTGTAGGTTTGATCTCCTGCATGTGCAAGAGGCAGCCAATCAATGTGTCTCTCTCACATTGATGCTTCTCTCTCTGACTCTCTCTCTCTCTCTCTTTGACTCTCTCTTTCCCCCTCCCTCCCCTCTCTTCCAGTCTTTCTAAAAATCAGTGGAAAAAAGTATCCTCAGGTGAGGATTGACAACAACAAACAAAACAAAACAAAATAAGTGTGTGTGTATAAAGTTTGTGATAAGAGAAATAGAGTGCTGAGTTTGTGATCTCAGAGATGGAAGGCAAGTGTCAGAGGCAGCATAGAGGTGAAATGAGTTTTCAGAGAAAAATAATGTATAATTTTGAAGTCAAGGGATTTGAAGACTCTAATCCTAGTGATGCCTCTGCCTTCTGAAGAGGGGGCCAACCACTGCTGCCATTACCCATCTGTAAATTGTATTTCATTCCAGTCTCTGGACTTTGTGCTAGAAGATGTTCAGTGATAATACTAAATCTATACATATCATATACTTTGAAGCTTGACCATGTACCCAAAAACCTAAAACCATTCCTGCCCTCTAATTACATAACAGGAAACAGCTGGAAGAATGGCAGAAATCTAAGGGGAAAATTTATAAGCGGCCTCCAATGGAACTTAAAACAAAAAGAAAAATAATAGAGGAAATGAATATCTCATTCTGGAAGAGCATGGAGAAAGAAGAGGAAGAAAGGAAAGCACAACTTGATCTGTCCAATAAAATTAACAGCACTCTGACCGAATGTCTACAGCTCATTGAAGGGGTGAGTGAGGAGGGTAACCGCCAAAGCTTTGACCCAGAGACATTTTTCTTTTTTTTTCTTTTTTTAACTTTTTTTTATTTTCTATCCTCACCCGAGGACGTTTTCCATTTTTTGTTCAGATAGAGTGGGAGGGAGAGAGAGAGAGAAACATCAACGTGAAAGGGACACATCGAGTGGTTGCCACCCGCACGACCCAACCAGGGCCGGGAACAAACTGCAACCGAGGTACATGCCCTTAGCAGGAACTGAACCTGGGTCTCTCTGGACCTCAGGCAGCCGCTCTAACTGCTGAACCCAACTGGCCAGGGCCAGAGACATTTTTCTTAAACATAGTGTTGGGGAGGTAACCTCTGACTAAACAGAAATTTATTTACTGACTGTGAGGGATTGTTTTTTATATGTCTTTTCAGATTTGTCTATGGTCATTTATCTAATTTAGAGTTTATATTTCTTGGGCCAGGTTTAGTAATTTCATGTATTTTATTTAAACCAAACTTGTTAAAGAGTTCTCTATTAATCTTTTTTAAAGGCCATTTTTTTGTGTTTTATTGATTATTTTTTCTCTTACATCAATGTCTGCATCTATTTTTATGTTTATTGTTTTCTAGTTTTTTTTCATTGAAAGCTTACATCATTTATTTTAATCTTATTTTCTTAAAAATACATTTTTAATGCTATAAATTTACCTCTGAATTTAGCTTTGGTCATGTCCTTGAGGTTTGATAGGTGATGTTCTTTATCAGTCAGAGCCAAGTCAGAAAAACAGAAACCACACCAGGTATTGTAATCGAAAGAATGTGGTGTTAGGATTTGTTTCACGGTGTCTCATGTGAATTCCCTAGAAGCAGCCACCAGGAAGAGAATTTGTGTGAAAGTAATTTATTAGGAAGAGGCTCCTAGGAAAACAGAGAAGAGTGGGATGTGGGCCCACGAAGGGAAGGAGGCCAAGCAGGATGTGTATCCAGCGAAGTCCATGGAGAGTGGCTGTGGCACGGTCCACAGGAAGCTCCAGGGACAGTAAGAATCACATCTCAGAGTTGGTCCTGATCAGAAGCACTGCATTGATTAATGGCTGCCCCTGGGGGACAAAAGGTCCCAGGCAGTTGTGATTCTGATACACAGAGAGGTGCAGGTGCTGGCTGTTGGACATGACAGAACTTTGTGCGCATGTGTGCACAAAAATGGTTAACGGATCATCAGAGGGCATGGTGCTGCACACAGGGCTGGCAGCCATAACTCTGGGTCCAGGGAACAAGATGGTGGGGGTATCAGACCTGAAAGCTAGGACAGACAAACCCTGGTGGGATAGCTCTAAAAAGGCATACTGCCCAGCAGAAGCTGGTGCCACAGAGCTCGAGGAGGCCCTGCAGGCTAGACTCAGACCTTGAGAAAGGCTGGTGTGGGCAGGGTCTGTTAACGCCAGGAAAAAACGAGGAGGTAGAACCAATTGCTGCTGCCAGAGTGAAGGACCATCGCTGGGTGATGAGGTCAAAGAGAAAGAGGAGGTCCCCTCCCCTCTCCAGCCCTGCAGTCTCCCTCCATGCCCCATACTAGCAGAGTCCAGCAGGGAGCTGTTGTTAGCCAAGGTGGTTTGTGACCCTGAATTCTAACCCCAGGGTCACAAAGCAGAGGAGAAATGAAGGGTTTGGAGCCGAAAGACCATAGCTTAGTAACTGACCTGTGTTCTCCTTGTTGCTCATTTCTAAAAAGTTTGAGGTTTCCATTTCTAGCACGTCTTTAGTTCTAAAGTTATCTTCAAAAAGTAGCCTTTAATTTCCAGATGTGTCCATTTTTTTTTCTCAGCTATTTTAATTTTTAATATACTGCATAGAATTTGTTGACATTTTCTTTCTGGTCTTAATGTCTGATCAGTCTTGGTAAGTGTTCCAATAGTGTTTGAAAAGAATATGTATTCTCTGTTGAATGGAAAATTCTACATGGGTATCCATTAGAACTAACTTAGAAAATTTAAATAGCACGGTTGTTTGTGTTTGTTAGTTCATCTGTTGCTTTCCAAAAGAAATATGCCAAAGTCTCTCACCAGCACTGATTGATTTCTCTTTGTATTTCTGTCAAACTTTTACTTCCTAATTTTTAAATTAAATTTATTGGGGTAGCATTGGTTAATAACATTATATGAGCTTTAAATATACAAATTTATAACATGACATCTGTGTACTCCGAAGGCTGGTCTCCTTCCATCACTGTATTTTTTTCAGTTTTCTTGTTAGGTACATAAAGACTCATGACTTGCTTTGATTTCTCTTCTGTCTTATGTTTATCTTGCCCCATCTGCTTTTTGTTTTTGTTATATTCTGTAGAGTAAATATTTTTCCATCCCTGTATTTCTAGAAATATATCTCATGTGATACATCCAGTCGATTTTTTTTAACCATATCTGGAATTATCTGCTTTTAAAAAGCAAATTTAGCCCATACACATTTATTGTAATTACTCATATGCTTAAAACTTATACCTGCCATTTTATTTTGTAATTAAGTTTACATGAATTCTTTTGTATTTTCCCTCATTTCTGTGTTTGATTTCATTTACTTTAGTTCATAAAGAAAGCATGTAAATTAAAATCACCAAAGATAGTGTTAGGTGCTGGTTTAAACATGGTGTGCAAGTTACATGTCATATTTTTGTAGTTACTTTGTTTCAAGTCTTCCATTTGAATTCTAAAGTGTATTCACTAGTCACTTCATGGTTTTTGAATGGTGAACTTTCTGAGTCCTCATGCTTGTGAAAATGTCATTATTTTGCCCACATGCTGAAATCATAGTTTGACTGGGGGAAATTTCTAAACTCAAATTGTTTTCCCTGGGAAATTTGAGGTTACTATTTCGTTTTGTCTCTTGCATCTGGATTTGTTGATCTATTCAAGTCCGTGTCAGTCTAGTCCTCATTCCTCTGTGGATGACCCTTTCTCCCTCTCCAGAGGTGCTTAGGGTTTTCTTTTTCTCCTTGGTTTTTAGGTATAGTTTCTAAGTAAGGACTTATCTTTTTTTTTTTTTTAATCCTCACTCAAAGACATTTTTTTTCCATTTTTTGTCCAGATAGAGTGGGAGGGAAAGAGAGAGAGAGAGAAGGAGGGAGGGAGGGAGAGAGAGAGAGAGAGAGAGAGAGAGAGAGAGAGAGAGAGAGAGAGAAAGAGAAACATCGACATGTAAGGGACACATTGAGTGGCTGCCCACACGACCAACCAGGGTCGGGGACAAACTGCAACCGAGGTACACGCCATTAGCGGGAACCGAACCCGGGTCTCTCTGGACCACAGGCTGACGCTCTAACCGCTGAGCCAAACTGGCCAGGGCTAAGTAAGGACTTTTCAATCTGAACACTTGTTGCCTTAGTCAGTTCTTAGAAATTTTTTTCTACAACAGCTTTGAGTGTGTGTTCTGCTTTGTTTTGTTTTTCCTTCTAAAAATTCTCATAGATGATATTGAAATTCCTACATAATAGACATATCCTGCAGAACTCTTACCTTTTCTTGTAGTACACTCTCCATTTCTTTGTTTGTTGCATTGAGTTCTGGGAGAATCCCATACCCAGGTGTTCGGTGCACTGTTTATTCTTCAACAGCATCCAAGCCACCGTTCTGCCCTTGTGTTGATTCTCTTCCACATAGCCCATTCTGGTTTCATGAGAGCAATAGTCTCTTCCCACCCTAAGGATACTAACTGCAGTGCTCTTCAGACTGATTCCTCTTGGCTCCCACAAACGTTTGCTGCATTGTTTATTCTTTTGGGTGGGGAGTTTATTCTTCATGTAGTGTTGGTGATTCTTGACTGTGAGCTGACCTCTGTGTCCACCCCCACCCCCCCCACACACACACACACACATCTTGAAAGGAGTAGGAGGAGCGACTTGGTGGGGTACACTGGTATCTGGCCCATGTTTCTCCGGGTCCACTTCCCTGCCCTGTTCTGGGTACAAGTCAGGAAGGCACCAGACCAGTGAGGCTACTTTAAAGTTCCTTTCTGTGGGACTTAACCCTCTTTCATATATACCTGCACAGATTCCCAACACACACGCATACACATCTCTATGACCCTGGCCCACCTGTGCCATCCTTCATGCTTCTGTTAGTGTCATTTGGAAATTTTGGTTACTACTCAGTGTTCACAGTGTTGTGAATGTTGATTACTCTGGGGTTTGGTTTGGTTTGGTTTGGTTTGGTTTGGTTTGGTTTGGCACCACATTACAATGTAGAATGCATTCCGTCCTTCAGCCATGATAAATATTTTTTTCTTTGTTTGATTTCATGTAATTCTTAAAATTTAATGATCAGTGTCAAAATTCATTGAAATGTACTATTTAAATGGATGCATTTTAGCTCTGGCCAGTTTGGCTCAGCAGTTGGAGTGTCAGCCCGCGGACCAATGAGTCATGTGAGTTTGATTCCAGTCAAAGGCATGTAACTCAGTTGCGGTTCATCCCCAGCCCTGGTTGGGGTCATACAGGAGGCAACCAGTCAATGTGTCTTTCTCACATTGATGTTTCTCTCTCTCCCTCTCTTACTTTCTCTCCTTCCCACTCTATCTGAACAAAAATGGAAAAATATCCTCAGATGAGAATTAAAAAATAAATAAATGGATGCATTTTATTATATGTAAACTATTATATGTAAAATTGAAATGTTTTTAAAGATAAAAATAATTGTTGGTCAGACTGATTTCTGCATACCTGCTACGTTAATAATAGAAGACATGAGTGACAGTGAGATGATAATAATTTCCTCTGGATATTTTTTTTCCAGGGTGTACTTTCTAATGAAGTATTTACCATATTGTCCAGTATTCCTGAGGCTGAAAAATTTGCTAAATTCTGGATCTGCAAAGCAAAGTTCTTGGCAAGTAAAGGCACCTTTGATGTTATCGGACTGTATGAAGAGGCCATTAGAAATGGGGCCACAGTGAGTATCTGTCCTGGGTGGGTGATTTCTTGAAAATTCTCTCGTGAGTTCTGCTGTTTGCAATATGGCAGTTATATAATGTAATGTAACTTCTGATTCCCTTTATAAAGTTATACACAGAATGTGAAGTTCAGTATGTCTTTCATGGACATGTTAGTAACATATTTATGCCATTGAAAGTGGAGTTATCCATAAACAAATAGAATCTCTCTTCTTTGTCTCAATACTTACTGTATAATATGCGCCTATGGAAAATAATAGCAGAGCAAGTTATGTCACATCAGCATCCAATCTTATAAAGTCATACCTCACCGTAAAGAACCTAAAAAGGTATGAAACCCAACACATCAATATCTACAAATCAATAATTCAGAGCCATGGTGTGAAATTCCTTTTCATTCTAAAACCTAGTAAAACTACTATCTATAATTTTTAACAAGGAAATCAAAATGTTTTATAGCTCTTTCACTTGCATGTTGCTTTCTGTGTCACCATATAGTCTACATACCTTTTCCATGACTGTTCAAGATCAGACTTGTACATGCACGTAGTTTAAACAGTCAAATAGTTCGCCAAGGTTCTTTCAATAAGGCCTCTGCTCCCCTCGCCTCCCATTTCTGACTTCCCAGGACAAACTGATTATTTTTATATTTACCTCTATAGTTTCAGATAACATGCTTGTACTGCTATTTCCTGATTGTTTTAGTTTGAGACATGATGTGTGGACTTCCAAATATGTAAGACTAGGATTTAACCTCTTCTATACCAACCTGCACAGAACCCCAGCACACACCCATGACAGATCTGTGTTGTCCTTCATGCTTCCTTCCACTGGCGTCATGGGAACTCTGGTCCCCGTTCCGTTTCACACTGTTATGAACGTGTAAGGAATATGTGAGGGCGTTGAGCCGTGTGGTGTGTTCTGTGGCTACCTTGCCTTTCAAGCACAGCTTTCTACTTTTCCTGAAATCGTTTCATTTTTCTGAGTGTTTATTATATAATTAATTTCCAAATTCTTCTCTGATTGTCAAAATTTTTTTTTACTTTCAAAACATCAGACATTGTATTGATTTCTTTTTCTTTGAGGCCTTTCTCCCACACCCTTCAGATCTGTCCCAGACTTGGCAGGTTCGCTTTACCCCAGCCCTCACTGGCTGTCATGGGACCTCCCCTCACCTGCACCCTTTATGTCCTTACAGCTCAGCTCCTAGAACCCACATCAGGCTTACTTCTCCTGTGTAGTCTGTTTCTTCTCCAGTGCTTTCTCTCTCTCTCTACCCCCAATTAATTTTGTTTTGTTCTCTAGTGTTCATTAAAGGCTCTACTCAGATGTTAGTGAAACTGGGCTGTTTGCATATATAAGAGATGTGTCTGAAAAAAACGTATTAAAAAGATATGGAGCCCTGGTCAGTTTGGCTCAGTGGTTAGAGTGTCAGCCCGCAGACCAGAGAGTCCCAGGTTCGGTTCCCGCTAAGGGCACGTACCTCGGTTGCAGTTGTGTGGGTAGCAACCAGTCTCTCACATCAGTGTTTCTCTCTCTCTCTTCCTTCCTCCCTCCCGCCCACTCTCTCTGAAGATAAACGTAAAAATATCCTCGGGTGAGGATGAAAAAAAATAAAATAAAAAATAAAAAGATCTGGACACATGGGTGGGCTTTGCCATAGGTGATCCGGCTAAGTCAGTTGGTTGAAGAGCCCTCAGCTCCATGTCAGTATTTTCAGGTTCTTCCTCTTAGACAAGGGCTCTTCTCTAGAGAAGACTCTGTGGTTTCCTTCCTGGAGCCAGAACGGGCCACCAGTGTCACAGGGGAGAAGAGAGTGGGATTCTCGGCCTTCGGCAGGAAACTTTCCTTTATCCCTTCATTTCAGTGGGCATCTCCACTCTTGGTCTTGCAGGATGTTCCCCAGAGACCGGGAGAAGGCACCCCAGTGTTCAGTTGGGGGTGCAAAACAGTCACCAGGCTGCGTGGAGCTTAGGGTGCAGAGTGGACTGGGAGCACTGGCTGCCCTCGGAACAGAAGTTCGAGAGTCCTGGTCCTGCCCACCATCCATTCCTGTGCCTTTCAGAGGCGCTGGGGTTGGGTCAGCTCGGTTCTTGGCCATGCTGCCAGCTTCGAAGTCAGCTCTTTCAAGTTGATCCAGTGGGTTATCTCTTCCTTCTACATTCCAGCTTCCAAAATCTTGTTGCTGTTTCTTCTCTCTCCTATTTTTTATGGTTATTGCCTCCTTTTAATCCCTTTCTTTTTATCAGTTTCAAGAGGGATCAGAAAGAAATGTGTTTCCAATTCATCGTCTTCAGCTAGAAGCCTGTAAAAATGTAAAAGACACTAGATGAATGTTCTATGTGATTCCGGCTCTTTGCAATGTACTCTGTACACTTCTTTCCACTTCCTTAAGCTTAAAGCACTTTAGGTTTTATAAAAATATGTGGATAGCTTTGCTTTTGTGCTCTGTTGTCAGTCTGTACCTATTATTTATTGGATACGGACTAGAGTCCGGGTCAGAAGACCAGCCCCAGATGCCGTGTCCCTGTGAGGACATGCAGTTCATCTGTGATGTTCTGCCTTCGGGTGTGGCTTAACTGCTTTGTAAAAGGAAGGCTCTCTCAGCTAATTTCATGGAAAATTACCTTTTTGTAATGTTTTTAAGTTATATTACCAAATAAAAGATGAAAGAGTGGGATGGCTGGGAGAAGATTGCCCAAAATGCTAACTAAAAGTTGTATTTGGGTGATGAGATTATGGGTGATTTCCTTTTTTTGAGTTTGACCTATTGTTAATTTTTTTGTTTTTTGTTTGTTTTTTTGTAATGAGGTATATGACTTTTATGATAAAAAACAAAATTAACTAAGACAACTCTACAAATGTATGCCATGATTTTTGTGTGACTATCTTTATGTCTTTAGGCCAGAATCTTTATATGGGAATACATCTTCAATGGGATCATGAGTCAATAAGAAAATAAATTTGTGTTAGAGAAATTTCATTATAGACAACTTTCCATCGATCCATCTCTCCGTTAAAGTCAAATATGCCACCATTTAACCAACATTTTCTTTGTTCCTTCATTTTTCCCATGAAACTATAAATCTGAAACTTTTTAAATTTTATATTTAGACGAGATAAAAAAGAAAATATTTTCATTATAAAAAGAAGTTTCTTTGATGTTGCACAGTTCCTTAGATTACTTTTCCATGAATGTTTTAATACTGTTCATGTCTTTTCGTCCTTCCTTCCAGCCAATACAAGAGTTGCGGGAAGTTGTTCTTAATATTTTACAAGACCCGAACAGAACCAGAGACGGTACTGCTATTTTGTATTTAAATTCATTCCCTTGAGCCTTACAAATAAGCGTCCTTAAGGATCACCTAGGAAGAAAGAAGTCCTCTGAATGCCTCTCCCCTCGTGGTTTCCGTGGTCTGGCCCTCTCAGCTAGACATTTGTGGTGTTACAAGTAAATAGGCTTCTCAGCACTGAGCAGCCTGGACAAGAGTGTCCTGCTCCCCCAGAGTCCTAGGGTAGAGGAGACAGTGGCTCTTTGAGGCAGAAGAGAGAATTGCCAGGTGGTGGGAAATGGGGACATCTGTAATAGGGTCAACAGTGAAGAAGAAGAAAAAGAAGGAACTGCCTCGGCTCAAGTCACGTGTTTAATCATAAGATTCACCAAGACTTTTACTTCCAGACTCATGGTGTCTCTTTAAAAGTGGCCATAGCAGGGCTCTGCACTTAGTCAAGCATTCCTGTCATTGGTCAGACCCTCCAGAGGACTCTTCTGTGAGAAAGATTGGACAGATATAGTGAGTGGCATATTCTAATTGCTTGTAATGTTTGTTACCTGACTGGAGGACCAGGTGGTCGAATCCTGTCAGGCTACCTTCAGAAGATAAAATGGATTATTTTTATGAATTTAGAAGGTGACAAATCTTTATCCTTTAAGGTAGATTTAATTTTGGGTAACAGTCAAGTCATGTGAAACTCAGCTACTGACACGGCTTGGGGGAATGAGGTTACAGAGTAGATATGCTCAGTGTCGCTGACTGGGAGTGATGCTGGCATCCAGAGGTTTGTTTATAATGCATGGCAGTGTTCTTCAAAGGGATGAAAAGAGGAGACAGGAACCCATGTCCTATTACTTGTTCATCCCTCCTGACCTCTCTTAGAGTCTCAGTCTCCAATCACAGTATCTACCGGCCTAATTTCCTTCCTCTCATCTTGGTTATTGTGGTTAGGCTATCTTGCGAATTGGGTTAACACAAGACTTTTCACCCAGTGTCCAAGGCGGTAGCCATATGGTCATCCTGGGTAAGAAGCTATCAGGCCAAGTGAGTTAACCCTAGTGAGTCAAGAAAATTGCCCCCACGGTATAGTATAAGGATAAAACGCCAGTGATTAGTCCCTAAGGGAGCTCTCTGGAGAGTGAAGAAGGGACTGGGGCTATGTTCAGAGCGACCCATCCTCGAGTGGTGAGGAGGGCAGAGGCCGGGTGGGGGTGGGGTGGGGGTGCAGGCCAGGAGGCAGCCTGATGCAGCTGGGCACTGCCGCAGGGCTTAGCAGCAAAACCGGTTGTAAGTCCCACTTCAGTTTCTCTTTTGTAGTATCTGGGGTCCATGTGAAATCATCGTATAGGTTACAGTGATTTCATTGTATTGATTTTTAGTTAAGTACTAAATTGCTAAATGTTGCTTTCCTTCTTGACCTTGTGTACACAGGAATTGCCCCTGACCCTTTGGTTGCTGAAACTAACATACCATCCATAGAAGAGCTGGCCAGGGATGTGGAATCTGCAAGAGAGTCTTGTCTTTCTCCCAAAGAGAAAGACCAGGTTCCAGCAACACCCCAAGTAACCAAGTCAGAACAGGATAATCACCCTGGTATCAAATTACAGGTCGCCCCCATCCCCAGGTAAGCACACTCCGACGCAGGCTTCACGCTCAGGTCCAGTTCTGTTTCTCCCCCACAGATGCGAGTACCGGCAGTGTTTTGCTCTCTTCTGCCGCATAGGAGCACCAGGTGGTCTAATTCATTCTCGGCGTTAAGGAACGCAGCTGGGGGCGAGAGGAGGGCTGGAACGGACAGGAGCTCTCTGCCCTTTCTGTGCACACTCACCCCCCCCACACACACACACACACACACACAGCCCCCCTGAGGACTGGCCTGCAGAGAGGGAGGCGCTGCTGGAGTCACCAGGGTTTTGGAGTGGATTCCTCCTTCCTCTTCACCCTCACTGGTCCTGCACTTGCAGACCCCACCTTCCTTTCCTGCCAGCCTGGCACAGATGGGGGGGCACAGAGTGCCAACAGGGGCAATCTCTGTGGCTATGTGGTGGAGGGGCAGTGAGCAGCCCCCAAAAAAGGGGGAGGGAAGTTGGGTATGTATGGGTTACAGAGAGCTCAGAATATCACTTGGCTTTTTAACAAGTATAAGTTTAAGGCAGAATCCATAGTAATTTAAGGAACCATGTCAGGGTATTGGTGGCATTTTCTAAAACATTAATGTAACTCAGTCTCTGTTCATGCTCTTGAAAGGAGGTTTCCAAGCAGGAGCCTCAGGACGACCATCTATCTCTAGTTCCCTGGAAAGCCTGGCAGGGCCTCTTCCACCTCAGCTCCTCTCAGATGTCCCGTGCCCCCAGCACAGTCAGCTCAGGAATGTGTAGCAGACCGGCTGCTCGCTGTGCATGGGCCAGTGCAGACAGCGTCCCCGGGGCTGCAGACCAGGGCAGGCAGCGTCCCGGGGGCTGCAGGCCAGGGCAGGCAGCGTCCCGGGGGCTGCAGACCAGGGCAGGCAGCGTCCCGGGGGCTGCAGGCCAGGGCAGGCAGCGTCCCGGGGGCTGCAGGCCAGGGCAGGCAGCGTCCCGGGGGCTGCAGGCCAGGGCAGGCAGCGTCCCGGGGGCTGCAGGCCAGGGCAGGCAGTGTCCCCGGGGGCTGCAGACCAGGGCAGGCGGCGTCCCGGGGGCTGCAGGCCAGGTTCACTGCACAGAAATGTCTCTGGGCCTCTCCTCCGGGCGACCTTCTGTTGGAAAGCTTTAACTTTTACAAGGAAGATGCCCAACTTGTTTCCATTTCAGTTTGTCATTTGGTTCACCATCTAAAAATAATGGTTTTTTAAATAATTTACTGTCAAAGCTAGAAAGAGTCTTAGATTTCATTAGTTCGATTCCATTTGGTGTTAGGCCCAATTTCCTCAAAACCTGTCCACTCTCTTGAAAGTTTATGGAATAAACAAATACCAACTGCCAAGTAGTTGACTTCAAGTAAAAACCACACTTGACGCTTCATTCGTTAACTCCCTCTCCTCACCCCGCCTGGGAGCAGATGGACACCACCCAGTCCATCTGACAATCAGAGAAAGGCCATCTTAGGACACGAGCTGCTCTAGATAGAACTCCTGTGGCAACCTCCATGAAATATCATGTTTTGTTAATAGAGTAAGGGGGGGGGGAGACTGAGTGGGATTTCAAACGAAGCGATCAGGTTCTGACCGTCTCTGCCGTCTCAGAGTAAGCGGCATGCCGGAGGTGCAGTCCATGAAGCTGATCACTCCCGTGCGGCGGTCGGCCAGGATCGAGCGCGCCGTGTCCCGCTACCCGGAGATGCTGCAGGACCACGACCTCGTGGTGGCTTCTCTCAACGAGCTGTTGGAAGTGGAAGACACAGAGTGTTTTGTATTCCGTAAAAATGAGGCTTTGCCTGTAACATTAGGATTTCAAATCCTTGAATCCTAATTTCTTGATGCTTTTTATTAAAAAGGCATTTCAGAGCCTCCATGAGGCAAGAAAGGCCCTCGTCCAGCTGACCTGGACCGACTGTCGTGGACGCAGACTCGGGACTCGAAAAGGAGCTCGCGGGGCTCGCTCTCTACCTGTGTATCCCACCGGAAGGCCTCCGGCTCCTCTGGAAGGTTGTAGTTGCCGGTTTTACAACATACAGAAATTTCACTCTGAGTGTAAATTTACCCCGCAGGTATGGTGAGGACACGGCAAGGTGGGTGCCGCAGTGTGGTAGACCTTCCTTCCTCATCCACCCGAGTCCTCCCAGCATGGACCTCTGAGCTTAGGTCATAAGGGACGTGACAGGCCACCTGGAGTTTATACTCACTATGCGTTTGCTCAGAGGTCACAGATGACAACGTGTGACCTTTGCCTTCGGTCACCGTGTCCTTGAGATGGGTAATTCACGCCCTTTCTGTGCCCTTTCTGAATTGGGATGGTCATCTAGCTTTTTTTTTTTTTGGTTAATCCTCACCCGAGGATATCTTTCCACTGATATTTAGAGATAGTGGGAGGGAGGGGGAGAGAGAGAGACATCGATCCGTTGCCTCCCTTACAACCCTAAACAGGGATCAAACCTGCAACCCAGGTGTGTGACCTTGAACAGAATGGAACCCACAAGCCTTCCGTCCAAGAGCTGACTCTATAATAGCCAAGCCAAACCCACCGGGGCGCTCGTCTCGTTTTTTATATCCAAACCTCACTGCATTTGTTATTCAGAAATGCTTTCAATAAAAACGAAAGGCGTGGGGTGGGGGTGTGGGGGCTGCTTCTGCGCTTCATTGCCCTGCCCTGCCCTGCCCTGCCCTGCCCTGCCCTGCCCTGCCCTGCCGGACCCGCGCCTGAGGGGGCAGCGGAGCCCAGAGACACAGGTTGCCTGTCTTTCCTCCGGGCAACTGCTCTTGGGAAGATAAAGCAGAATCACTGTAAATATAATGTAGAGAACCCTAGTCAACACAGCTTTCTTCATATTTAAGTATTAACCAATAAAGAACATTAAATGTTTCTTCCTGCTTCTTCATTTATCTTATTTATTACAAAAAACAGTGATGACGGCATGGTCTAGAGAATTGGGGGTTTGGGGAGACACCAGTAGGCTACTCCAGAGGCCTCACAGGACATTGATTACCCTTGAGAGCTGACTTGATCAGGGTCTGACCATCAGCCTCAGTTGGGACTCAGCCTCAGACTTTTTCATTGTGAGGGAAGTGCATCCATCTCTAGATCAGATTTATAACAACAAGGTTTATGAACAGCTATAAGACCATGATGCTCATAGACTAACTTGCAGTAAGAAGCAGATTGTCACCACAACCAAAATCCAGGACTGCACAGCCAGCCCCCTTGAGGCAGACTCACTACCTGTGATGCCACCAAATGCCCAGGGGTTGCTTAGAGATCACAAAATCTGAAACTAGGAGTTAGAGAAGTACTTAGGATCACCAGACAGGCTGAAGAAGGCTTCTTCGTGTTAGACACCAGGTACCCCGCCTGCTTCCACTGACCAGGTCCTCGGGGTGGGCCTGCACCCCATCCTTCGTGTGTGCACCCTTCATTTGGCTTCCTGAAGGTCCATCCTCGCCACCAGCATCCACTTCCCTCCCGGGCTCCTCTGGTTTTGCATTTCTCCTCAGAACCACTGTCCTAGTCGTTCAGCTCAGTTCTCAAAGGGTGACCTCATTTTCTTTCTCGCCCGTTCTTTGCAGGACGTCAGCAGTAACACCCGGGTACCAGCAAGTGGAGGTTGAACTACTGGTTTTTAATAGTGCTGTTTTCAAAATGACAGACGAGCTTTGGGCAGCCTGAGGCAGAGGGTGTGGCCGTGGCCTTGACGGCAGCGGAGAGCCACCCTCGTTCTGTGACTCCTGTTTCGGGGATCATTCCTAGAAATGGAGCGGGAGGGAGGGAGAGCGGCAGGGAAAAGGCAGCCCTGTCTCCGGAGGAGGCTTCCCGGGGTTGTGATGGAGGTGGGGCCTGGGCAGAAGTCAACTCTAATGTGTGGGGGCAGCTCTTAGAGGAGCAAGTGGCAGGACAGTGTTCAAGGGACGTAAACCAGGAGGGCTGTGTACTGGCGTCGCTGTTCGGAAGGACGGTTCACGTGTCACTGCTGGGTGCCGCGCTCTCGCTGTGCAGCACGTCGGGTTTGGCTAGCCTGGCACATAGTCCTAATAACCCACCCGTTTCCCAGGACCGCCTCGCCCACTCACAGTCCGCATGGTTTAAGGAGCGTGGACTGCACCCTGGGTCAGGCCACCCCGAGCCCCGCCATCACCTGGCCAGGGTGACTCATTTCCCAGACTTTTGTTGGAAAGAGACTTCCTGGTAGAGCTGCTGGAAAGATGGAAATCAAGTTTGGGGTCAGCCATCTTATAACTACGGAGAAGAAAGCCTGCCAGAGAAGGGTGCCGACATGGACTAACCACGAGCTAGAGCACATGGGTACGTCCGTGGCATCATTCGATGCCCCGGCTGAGCGCGGGAGCAGGCAAGCCTTGGACGCTCCACTGATGTGAGCACTGAACTCCCCTTTCCCACGCTGTTTAGTTCAGGTTTCTGTCCGTTACCAGCGGAAACTCCGACTGGCACTCCCACAGTGGGGTACGAGGCGTGTTTCGTGTGGGCTCCGGCCACATTTGTGAAGTCACTTCACTAGTCCTCACAGGAGCCTATGACACAGGTGTGGCAGCAGAGTAGTTGACAGGAAATGACAGGGCTCCTGGACCCCAAATCCAGACCTCCTGGTTCCTGTCTCTAAAGTAGGAATGAGGACTGGGCTGGGGATGAGGAAAGGGCAAACTGAGAAACTGCTGAACTGTTTCCAGTTTACCAAACTGTCATTTGTTGTACAAACGGGCTCCTGACCACCTTTGTATTGAGGTCAATACCCCAGGGTGCCTCTCTGTTCTTCTTTTTCTGACTGCTCAGGACTGGATTCATCTGCTGTAACTAACCCCAAATAGAGATGCATCTCTCCATCCACAGTCCAAGCGGAACAGCCCAGAGCTCATGGTGTCAGGCCCAGCCACGTCTGTCATGGTTCTGCCACCTTCATGGCCAAGGATGGCTGCCGGATATCGTCACCAGGGAGAGGGAAGAGGCAGTGGGAGGACACACCCTCTCCCCCGAAATTCCACAAGCCGACCAGTGTAAAGAACCAGATTACAGGGCTTTCTCAATAAAACAGGACAGGGTAGATGCAGATGCCAGAGATACGATGCTGAGCTGAATGACCTGACCCCAGGAGCCCAGAGCCCAATGAGAATGCACATTAAAGAATCACAGGTGAGCCCTGGCCGGTTTGGCTCAGCGGTTAGAGCGTCGGCCTGCGGTCCCGAGAGACCCAGGTTCGGTTCCCGCTAAGGGCACGTACCTCGGTTGCAGTTTGTCCCCGGCCCTGGCTGGTCATGCAGTGGCAGCCACTTGATGTGTCCCTTTCACGTCAATGTTTCTCTTTCTCTCTTCCTCTCTCTCCCTCCTACTCTATCTGAACAAAAAATTAAAAAATGTCCTCAGGTGGGGATAAAAAAAAAAAAAAAGAATCACAGGTGTAGTAACAAAAATAAATTAATAAAAATTGAAAATAAAATAAAATAAAAATAAAAAGAATCACAGGCGTAGCACTATTCACAATAGCTAAGCTCTGAAAACAGCCCATCAGTAAATGAGTGGATGAAAAAGCTGTGGTACATTTACACAATGGAACACTATGCAGCTGTAAAAAGAAAGATCTTTTACCCTTTGAGACGACATGGAGGGACCTAGAGATGAATGTGTTAAGTGAAATAAGCCAGTCAGAGAAAGATAAGTGTCATATGATCTCACTTATATGTGGAATCTAATCAACAAAATAAACTGATGAACAAAACAGATCCAGAGACATGGGAGCATGGACCAAGCTAACAGATCTCAGAGGGAAGGAAGTGGGGAGATGGGAAGAGAGTAACCAAAGAATTCATATTCATATATGCATAACCAATGGACACAGACAATAGCTCGGTGAAGGGGGGGCGGGGGGCAGGAGCCGGGTAGAGGGAGCCATTGGGGAAATGAGGGGGGGGACATCTGTAATATTTCAACAAGAAGATTTATTTTTATTTTTTAAATCTTTATTGTTGAATGTATTACAAATGTTCCTTATTCTTCCCCCATTGACCCCCTCCTCCCCACTGTTGCCCCCCCCCCCCTGCCTTTTCCCACACTATTGTCTGTGTCCATTGGTTATGCATATAAGTTCTTTGGTTTATTTCTTCCCACCCCCCAACCCCTTGCCCTTTGAGGTTTGTCAGTCTAGCAACGAATTTGTACTTCTTAATCTCTTCATCTTTTTCACTCATTCCCTCAACCCCCCTCCTATCTGGTAACCAACAAAATGCTCTCTGTATTTATGAGACTGTTTCTGTTCTGCCTGTTCATTTTGTTTGTAGATCCCATTGTCGATAGATATGTATTCATTGCCATTTTGTTTGTTCATATATTTTATCTTTTTCTTCAAAAAGACCTTTCATCGTTTCATATAATAACGGTTTGGTGGTGATGAACTCCTTTAACTTTTTTTTGTCTGGGAAACTCTTTATATGGCCATCGATTCTAAATGACAGCTTTGCAGGATAGAGTAATCTTGGTTGTAGGTTCTTGCTTTTCATCACTCTGAATATTTCTTGCCACTCCCTTCTGGCCTGCAAAGTTTTTTTTTGAGAAATCAGCTGACAGCCTTATGGGAACTCCCTTGTAGGTAACTAACTGCTTTTCTCTTGCTGCTTTTAAGATTCTCTCTTTGTCTTGAACCTTTTGCATTTTGATGATGATGTGTCTTGGTGTGGGCCTCTTGGGGGTCATCTTGTTTGGGACTCTCTGTGCTTCCTGGACTTGTATGTCTGTTTCCTTCATCAAGTTAGGAAAGTTTTCTGCCATTATTGTTTCAAACAGATTTCCAATTTCTTGTCCTCTCTCTTCTCCTTCTGGCACCCCCAAGATACGAATGTTGGCACGCTTGAAGTTGTCCCAGAGGCTCCTTACACTATCCTCATTTTTTTTGGATTCTTTTTTCTTTTTGCTGTTCTGATTGGGTGTTTTTTGCTTCCTTAGATTCCAAAGTAATGGTTTGCTTCTTGGATTTACGTACTCTACTATTGAATCTGTGTAAATTATTCTTTATTTCAGTTACTGCCTCCTTTATTTCTGACTGTGCATCCATCATTTCTGACTGGTCCTTTTTAATGCTCTTGAGGCCCTCACTAAGTTCACTGAGTTTCTCACTGAGTTCATTGAGTATCCTTATAAGCAATATTTTGAACTCAGCATCTGTTAGGTTGCTTATCTCCATTTCGCTTAGTTCTTTTCTTGGGGTTTTATTCTGTTCTTTCATTTGGGACCTGTTTCTCTGTCTCCTCATTTTGGCTGCCTCCCTGTGTTTGTTTCTG